TCATTCAGTATTTGACATATTGATAGGATGTATTTGCTGACAAGGTCTTTGTATCGACCATAAGACTTGCAAAATGATGTTTTCGAACGAAGCTGTTGATATCCTTGATTCATTTACTTGTTTGTCAACAGTTTGCCTCCTATTGGAAATTGTTTATGCGTAAAGCATGCTCTTGCGTATCGAATCAACAGGGAGACAAAAACCCATATGCAGGTGATAAAGACATATTGCTTCGTAAGTAAGAGAAGTTTACGATTGAAAAATTCAACTCATCACGTTTATCATAAAGCTTGGTTTTTAGAATGAAACAGATGTGTTAGACTCTGCGGTATCTTTTATTTCAAGCTCACTGGAATATATCAAGTCTACAATGAATGGAAGTAACTTTGTTAATTGATAATACGTCGTCGATATATCTAAATGTCGAGTTGAAGGCCACAGCAAGTGTTTTTTCTTGTAGAAGTTTTTTAAATAAATTCTGCTTCATATGAATACAAAAATAGGTCTGCTAATCGGAGGAAGCAATAGGTACCCATGAGAATTCCAACAGATTGTTGAAAGACCTCATCTCCAAAAACTACATAGATATTGTCAATCAGAAACTCAAGCATCTTTTTAAGATCAACCTCAAAGTACTTGTGCGTACAATCAGAATGTTTTTAACAAAATAATTTTGCAAATGACCAATGACAAGGTTAATATATTTACAGCTCTATATTTCTTTCACTGTGATCCACTTTTTATATGACACAGCACGTTGACATAAGATGCATCAACCAACAAAGTTTGGTGTTTCTAAGCCTCGTAGTATCCAAAACATTGAGATAATGGTGCAGAATTCTAAAAAATTCTAAAAAAAAAAAAAAAAAATAGGTCAGTGACCTACTTTTTGATTGAAACACTCCGAGGACCAAAGATGCATCAACTAACAAAGTTTGATGATTATAAGTCTCTTATTATTTTAAATATTTAGATATTGCTTTGAAATTCCAAAAGTAGGTCATGGTCTTTTACTTCTTGGTTGACACACTACGAAGACCCAAGATGCAGCAACTGCCAAAGGTTTATAATTCCTAGACTTTAGTTATTGGAAACACTTAGAAATAGCCATGAAATATCAAAGGTAGGTCACAGTGACCTACGTTTTGGTTGACACACTCCCACACATAGACCCAAGATGCATCAATTGACAAAGTTTGATGATTCTAAGCCACTTAGTACATGTATCTGAAGAAATTAAATACTAGTATTGTCATGAAATTCCAAAAGTAGATCACTGTGACCTACTTTTGCTTGATATACCCCGAGGCCTTAGGACGCATCAATTAACAATGTTTGATGATTCTAAGCTACTTAGTATCTGAAATGATTAAATAAAGTCATGAAATTCCAAAAGTAGGTCACTTTAACCTAGGCCATAGGATGGATTTACTGACAAGGTCGAATAATCCTAGACTTCACAGTGTCCAATTCAAGATATGCATCTAATTCAATTTGAAAATGAATACCTGCAAAATTAAAAAAGTGGGTCACTGTTTCCATAAACATGTTTGAAGGTCCAATGCTGCATCAACATATAAAATTTGATGATTCTAAAACCTTTAAGAATCGGAAATAATGAACTAAATGTTTTAAAAATGATAGCCATAAACTTCAGAAAGGAGGTCAAAGTGAACTACTTTCTGGTTGACATACTTCATGGCATAAGAATCAAGAACGAGGGACAGTAAGAAGCAAAATCTGCCCCCCCCCAAAACAAAGATTTTTTGTGTAAACAATTCTTTGTTTACGCCATTTCATTCGTTTTTTTTTTTTTCTTAAAATATATTTTTGTCATTTTGGGGGCTAAAACATGAAAACTAACAAATTAGATTTCTGGAAATGTTATACATGTATAATATTCATTCTCAACATCTTACCAGGTATTCAAAAGTGGTTATTACTACAATTATGCATGAATTATTATATGAAAATCAATTTCTCACAAAACAAAAGACCAAAACCATAATGTTTGGGTAAAATGTCCTGTTTGTTAAAAAAATAACAGATTTCTGGAAATTTTTATAACTTTAATTTTCAACGTCTGATCGGTTATTCAAAAGATGTTAGTATTTCAATTATACACAGACCAAATTTTGGGGTAAAATGTCCTTTATTCATATAACTCATTTTCAACATCTTACCAGATCTGCAAAAAGTGGTTAATATTACAATTATACTTGACCTATTATATGAAAATCATTTACTCACAAACTAGTTGATCAAAACCTCAATTTTTGGGTAAAACGTGCTTTTTTTCATTTAAAAAAATCACAGAATTATATCATATTCAACATCTTACCAGTTACTCAAAAGTGGTTAATATTACAGTTATACACTGACCAAATTTTGAGGTAAAATGTTCCATGATTGGAAAGTCGTGTGTTCGAATCACGACCACGACCAACCTAAGTTGATAAAAAAAAAAATAGGTAGCAACTGTTCCTTCGCCAAGCTCTCGGCACTTTGAAGTGAAAGTTGCGGGTCCTTCGGATGAGACCTTAAAAACCGAGGCCCCGTGTCACGGCAGGCGTTGGCACATAAAGATCCCTCACTGCTCAAATGCCCTGAGTGCCGAGTAAAGGTCTAAGTTTGAAGTCTTTCACCGGAATATGGTGACGTCTCTACATGAGTGAAAAATTCTCGAACTGGACGTAATCAGTCAATCTATTAGTGACCTTGAACTTGCCAAATGGACTTTGGGTTAGATAATACACACCCTTAAGTCTTAAGCAATCTTTGTGTCAAGTATCAACTACAATTAGCCTCCATTTGAGAGTAATAGATAGGACACAAATAAATCACTTTTTGTTAAAGACCTTGAACTTGCTGGAATGACCTTAGGTCATGGTCAATGCATACCCTCAGATCACATGCAATATTTGTGATAAGTATGAGCCTCTAATATTCTCTATTACAAGATATGGTTACGACAGGAAGTGTAAGTGACCTTGATCTTGATCAAATGACCTTTGTTTAAAGTCATGACACACATAAGCATTCTTTGTATGAAGTATGAACTTCCAATGTTTCTCCATAAAGAAGTTGTACTCACCAGACGAGAATTTTTTTTCTTTTTTCTTTCAGTGATCTTGAATTTGACCTTGAAACACCCTAAGGTCACAAAACAATCGTTGTTCCAAGCATGAAATTCCAATGATCCTCCATTACAAAGTTATATTAACTGAAAACCTGCAAAATTCAAATAATAGGTCACCGTGGGTGGTTGGGGGATTAGCTGCTCTCCTTTATAAGCATGATTCTACATACCAACATACAAGGGTTCCGTTTTTCCTTGAATGGTTGAAGGCTATTTACAGGTAACTTTTTCATATAAATTTAATAACTTTGAAGATCCAGAGGAGGTGACGGTGGGGAGGACACCCACAACCCCCCACTCCCACCTACATTTGCTCATGCATTTCAAGTGAGACTTTGCTCCAGTTTTTTTTTTTTCAATTAAATGACAATATTACTCCTTTATATAAAGAAACTCTCAATTAACTGTAGGGAAGACCCACTCACACATGTGTGTTATAGTACATGAATGTGGATATGCCAAATTTTGCATTTTATTTTGCATTATACTATGATGAAACTTTAGCATGTCGTAGTCTAAAGTGATGTCTGATAAAGAAAATTTTCCTATTGCTTGATTTTGATTTTTTTTTCTTCATTCATGGGTGTTTGACTCCGCATCACAATGCATATACATGTTTTAGTACATTTTATTTTTAATTATATATACAATATCAATGGACTTTGTGATCTCCTATGAAAACAGCCTACATGAACATGATGAGAAACACATGTTCATATACATAAGAGTGTCAGATGCGGGGTGTTTGTTAGTATTTTGATCTGTGTTAATCATTACCTACTTGAAATAAAAACAAGTCTGCTGTTGATTTGCTTTTAACTGTTTGGAAAATGCTAAGTATAAGATTTCGACTCAATTTAACAATCATCATGTAACTTCTTCTCTAAGTGGGTACACATAGTTTAACTGATTGTAAGTACTTCAACTTGTACATTTTTGGCAAGGATTTTTAAGGATGCGTAAACTGCTAATAAGAATGAAGGTGTACAATGTGTGGACAATCCCCTCTCTAAGATATTTCACAATTCTAAAAGTTCATAGAAAATTTAATTTTTTTTTTGAAAACTGTGTTGTCAGTATCATCTTTTTCACATTTGATTCCCTTATTTCATTGAAATCAAACGAAAAAAAAGAGCCTCATGCATGATTAAAACTCACTCTAAAGCTAGTGGTGGAGCATAATGTTACACACCTGAACCATTACCCTAAAAATTCTTCTTATATATAGTATGTGTTAGTGTGATTAAATATACGAGTTTTTTCAGGCCTATAATTTTTTTCTTCATTTTTTTTTATTTTCATATAGAATGGGTTCAGACTATATTTTCGAAACATAAAATAGAATTTAAATTCATTTTTCTGTTAAGAGACTTGACCCATTCATGCTCAAAAATATTTTTAAATGGTTCTGATTGACCCATTTTCCACTAATTTTCCTTTAAAAGTCAGATTTAAAAAATCTAATATAAATCAATGAATTATTCAATAAAATAAATGAATTAAACGTGTTAAAGATCACATTACTGAAAATATAATTTTTGAAAAATTAGAACATTTCCTTGAACTTTGAAAATTGAGAAATATATTGTCTCATAGTGAGGGATTGTCCTCACTTTGTACTCCCCCATTCTTTAAACATGCTACAACTGAAACTTACGCAGTTATGGTTCTTTATCATGACAGTGCATGCTATGCCATGGGTTGTAGTTTCCAGTCTTAGATCACATTCAAATCAAAACAGACACATCCATATTAGATCTGGCTACACCAGCATTGGGTTTAAGTTGCATAAAAACATATCATCCTTTTAAAAATGTCTCAATAATGAAATATATACTTCAAAAGAACATTTTTAATATATAAGAAAAATATTGCACATTTTTTTTTTTACCAAACATTGCTATTTAAGATGCAACAAAATCAAATTTGAATATAAAACGTTTTTTCAAAGGAAATTCTACAAACACAAGATTTCATCTTCAGTAAACATTTTAAGTGTAAATGACTCTTAAACAAGTAAAGTTTTCATCAGCTGATATAATGGACAACCAATATTAATTGCCCTTGACAAGTAAGTCACATGCAAAATATGGGTTTACATACTGAATATTTGCAGTTTACATTATAAAATGATTTCATACATGTACATGTAACAAAGCAAGGTAAATTTGGCAAACTGACTTAATTTACAATTCATCAGAATTTGGTCCAAAATGTTAGTGATTCAGCATCCAAACTGTTAAGCTTGTCACTGAACTAACAGTCATATGACATTTCGCAACAAAATTATACAGATCTCTAAAATGCACTGTGTCATTACAAAGAAAAGGGATAAATGTATATAAATAGGTTGTCTTCAGTGAATTTATCATTATAAATGAACAAAATCTCTTTTTTAATTCTAAATAATTATACGAAAATTTATTGAATTTAATTTTAAGACTAAACTGTACAAACAAGTTCAAGGGAACCTTCAGGAGCTTACACCTATTGTGATACCGTACATGTAAATGATCGATGATTGTGAATTCAATATGGGAAAAATTGTCCAGTTGAAATGTTCATTCAGAACAGGTGCTATGTACATCATAAAATGGGCAAAAACACCTGATATATATTCTCCTTCCCCATTTTTTTTTTTTTTTTACAGAGAGGGAATTTTACAAAATTGCGAATTGCAAGTTATTATGTAATGAGCCAAAAAGGATGCCATTTTGCAAAAAGTTTTTACACAAATGTAAAATATGTTCTAAAAGTTCTTACAGAGATAAAATATGTTCAAAGTGCAATATCTTTGAAGTAATTTTGAAAGAATTTTGCTCATCACCTACATATACATGTAAAAGTTCACTTAGTTATGTAGAATTTCACCAGTAAATGCAAACTCAATCAAGGAATGATATATATTCAGAAGTAAAGTCATCAAAGTGAGAAATGAGATACCTGTACTTCATATAAACTTTTTTTTGAAGGCTAATAAAATAAAAATTATGAAAAAATAAGAACACAGAGCATTCATGCATTAATAATGCGTAATCCCGTTAATCCACGTCAAAGTCACTGCCACTATCTTCATCCTCAGCAGTTGGGACTCTTTTCTCCCCCGTGATTCGGTCGTAAATAATCTTGTTGTTTATATCGGGATTGGGTAAAAAACTGTGTCTGCAAAATATTAGAAGTAAATTAAATAAACACTTCAGAATTGAATCAATGCAGCTTGAGAGAATATGACTAATTCCTTAGGCTATCTTTATAAGACTAGTACTACATGTACATGTAGTTATGTTTCTGTTAAAAAGTTTGTTCTTTTTTTATGTTCATTTGATAAAATTTTCTATTTTCAGTCAATTAAAAGGTTTTGTACAAGCTGCAGTGGTTTCAAAACCACCACTGACCTTAATTTCCGCAGTGTAAAATTGTTGCCATATCTTATACATGTATTAAATTACATCCCTTTTTTCAACTTCCAATCAATTAAATAGCAAAATAAAAGGATTGAAATGTTTTTCATCATTAATTTCAGTGAATTTTGCTGAGATACAGCATTTCAAAAATGGAAAAGGGGGGGGGGGGGGCTAAATTTTCTTCAATGAAATGGAAGTTCATGTAAAGATAAAAACAATTACTCATGTAAGAAGCTCTCGAGATCAGTCGCATAGAAGTCCTCCCCAAGTTCATCTGACAACCTGACAAAGTTTCCTATGAGTTCTCCCCCTTTGTAAATCAATAAGGCAGGCACACCACTCTTGGACTTAAACAGAAGGAAAGTCATTAGTGGCTTGATCAACTGGTACAAAAATAATCAATCTTGCTAGGTGAAACAGAAAATTTATAACTTTGAGTAAAGAGCAAGAGCCACGAACCATCAAAAATGGCCCTGTCTCAAAAAGTAACGGGGTTTTGTCAATTGATAGTGTAGACTTTTAGCTTTTCTTTGCCGTTTTTCTTTTTTCGATATCGATTATATTTTCTGAAAAAGAGAGTCTGAATTATGACGATGTTTTAAAAGAAAAATGCTAGTAGAACGTCATTTTTTGAAACGTAACGTCGTAGGCGGAAAAAATACCTTAAGCGATTTTACATATGTGACTTTGAATTAAAACTAGTATTAATTGGGATGGACATTTATCTTACTAATAAACTTCATAATTAATTTAAGACAATTAAGAGCAGTTGGAAATTGCTTTCACATCGCAGTCTTGATGGCAACTGCGTGTTTAACTGATTGAATTTTGTAGATACACTGTACATGTACAGTAAAAATAATCTGTGTGACTGTCTCGGAAAGTTTTCACTCTACCTGGTCCCTATGCTATTATATTTTTTAAGAAGGAAGATTGTATTTCTATCCTTTGAACACATTTTTTTGTGCGATGCATCGCTCCTAGTTACATGTAAGTATTGAACATCATTAAAAAACATACGACTTGCTTCAAATGACGATAGCCTGTCCAACTTAGTTTTCCAGACTTTTTCCTACACGCCTGCAAATTATATTAAGCTGATCTTTGGAATGCGCGTCCAGGCACGAAGTTTGTTTTTCAAAGTGGGGAAGGAAAAAAAAATAACAAGATACCTGAAATGATCTTAAAACGAATGTTTCTAAACTGAAGAGCTACAATGTAATTCAATAACTGGATAGAAGTAATTGCAAAACATTTTGTTTAAATGGAAATAGACTTTTAATGCGAAATTCTTAGATCCTGAACTTACGAGTATTTTAACATATAAAAGATCTAAATAATTTGGAAAAACGGAGGAAGTAAAAAGTTGGAAGGACTTGCTTCTAATCCATCTATTCATTTGTAACAATAATTTGAACGTCGTTTTCGAAACAGAAACAACGAAAACTATAGATTAATTGAAAAGGCATGTCGCAACTTATCATAATTGTTTATTTAGTAAACAGAACTCATCAAAACATTGTCGCCCTAAATGTGAGTTTCTTTGGAGTAATAAGGAATACATTTCAAAAAAATATTTTTAAGAAAGATAAATCTGTTAAAAAAATCACTGATTTAAGGCTAAAGCAGAAAATAAACCAGCCCTGTTCATTATTATATATTTATTGGTATTTGCTAGACCCCCCCCCCCCTTTTCTCTTGCAAAATATTCGAGTATTGCTCTCCCAAATATCTTTACTGCAAGGAATTTGTGAAGATAGAAGTCTGCGACATATTGAAAAATATATATGCTTTTGAAGTAAGATGGAAATTCACCCTTTTGTGTACATGTATGAGAATCATCTCAGAGGATTTTTTAAATACAGTTATTATATCGATGGCTTATATATGCTGGTACAAAATAATGTATAGTTATAGTATACGTGTATGTGTGTACCGATATCAGGTTTCGTCAAAACAATTGCACTTGATGAACCCGCGCCCGTGTCCTAGATTCTGCTTAGCCGAAATGTAGATGATTATCAAAATTCATTTTTTAAATTTATTGAATTTTTTTTTTTGGTTTAATTTTCACTTTGCACAGCAAGCTATGTTTTTATTATTTCGTTTGTTTTACAATACAAAGGTCTAGCGTGATATCTTTGCTACATTCTCTATTAAATTGTTTACAATTTGAGTCATGTCGATCTGTTAACACGCACAATAGTATTAAAATTGTCTCAAGAATATAAAAAATAAATAAATAAAAATAAATATATAAATTTAAAAAATGCTTAAACATAAAATTAAAAGTATAACAACAGCTTTAAAAAAGCAGGCGGGGGGGGGGGGGGGGGGGTTGTGTGAAGGGCAAGGGCAGTAAAGAATCAAAACAATTTGGCGTGAATTTCTGATAATTAATAATTTGATGGTATCATCCATTTGGGCTTAAATCATACAAATAATGACAGCACTCGAGAGCTTAAAACTTTTCAGCAACATTCCAAATAGTTTAGAGCCTTTATGACGTCACAACTGACGTATTATTAGTAACGTCATATATAATGGACCTATTCACAATAAAACCCATGTTTTGACAGATATTTACTCAGAAAATGTTTATTCTTAAGGTGTTTTTCCACAATAAGCGTTTTAAACGAACAATAAATTGCTTTTCTCGCATATTTTGTGAAATGTATAATTTTTTATTGTTGTATGAATTAAATGTTAACGATTGATTCACAAATTAGTGATTATTTGATGCATCAAAATTTAAATATAAAATCAAATTTCATATTGGCCACACCCACGAACAACAACGATAATAAGCATAAAGATTTGTATCGGCAATATCTATATCTATGGTAAGTATAAAAGTTGTTCTTGACTGTGGCCACATCTAACTTTGGGAAAATCTGTAGAAAAATCGGCATTTTTTAACGTTTTATCACACCGTCGCATATTCCAACCGTCGCACGTGCCTAATGACGCATTATATAACAAAATAAGTTACGTATGGAAAACAAGTATGTTGTCCTCTAACATTTAATGTATAGTACTCTTGTTGAATCGAAACTTTATTTTTGTGAAAAACACAGGGCCAAATTTGATGGTTCGTGGCCTTAGCTCTTTCATACAAAAACTTATAGCTTTCAAAAGTTAGCATATTTGAGTACATATAATTCTGTAACTTACAAAATTTAGACTTAGAGTTGCATCCGAGGCTCTGATTTTACAGAATTTGACTGTAGGGTATTCCTGAGCAAGACAGTTTAAACAACCATTCATAGCTTCACATGCTTCAACATCCTGCAAATTGTACATCAACAATATACACAGTAAGCTCCATGGTACAACCTCATGAATCAGATAGATTTTGATCAATTCTGAGTGCAATAAAGTAGGAAATTAAAAAAAAAAGTACTCACATCTTCATATAGATGAATTATGATGATGACTTGTGGTTGTTCTTTATCGATTTCATTCACAAAATTGGAGGAAGAAATTTCTATCAATTTGCCAAATTTTGGTCTGAAAAATAAACAGAAGTAACAGCTGAAGCTTGGTCAAAATGTAAGGTAATACATGCATGTACATAATAATGAAGAAAACTAATGCATAAAAAACACACTGTCATTAGTGACTGTATTCTTGAAATAAATCCTATTTCCTACTTGTATGTACAAATTGTGAATTACTTAGGACATGCTGCTTTATTTTTTACTTCCAGGTTTATTTTCATTGTTATTTCAGCAGTATTGCTAAACAGCCTCCCCCTTGAAAAAAATTGAAGTGAAATTCAACTGAATAACCAATCAAAGCAGAACAATTCTTTTCCAGAGAGCCTGAAAATATATTCAATTAATAAAACCCCTTTCAGAAATATGCTGTACTATATCTACTGTTGAAAAAAAAAAAGCAGGAGATGCAAATACTGTCTTACATATTAAAGAAATTTCATGTAGAACCAAATATTTTCAAACTGTATTTATCCTTTATTTAATTTTATACTTACATATTTTGCAATGCTAATCTCATTTCCTCTATCCTTTTCTGGCGATATTCTTTTAAAAATTCATCCTCGAAACTTTCTAATTCCTCCAGGAATTTTTCATCATTTTCTTTCTCTCTTTCATCATCTAACTAAATTATAAAGGGGAAAAAACTGTATCAGTAAAACCTGCCAATAAAAAATGACATAAGTCACTTGAAACGAATTATAACCATAAATATTACTATAAATGACACTGATAGCAAAAAAAAAAGGAGAGCAAGAGGCCCATGGGTCACAGCGCTCACCTGAGTCATTTTGGCCCTGCTGTTCTTCATCAAATTTTTCCCCTTGTAATATTTTGAATCCCACCCTACCTCCAGGGGACATGATTCAATCAATTTATAATCTAAACTACCTTATCAAGACTTCACAAGTTTCATCTTTTCTAGCTCAGCAGTTCTTGAGAAGATTTTTTTAATGACCCCACCCAATTATTGTCTTTTCTTGATTATTTCCCCTTGGAAAGGGCTTGGCCCTTCATTTTATCAATTTAAACTCTCCTTCACTCAAGGATGCTTTGTACCAACTTTGGTTAAAATTGGCCCAGTGGTTCTTGAGAAGAATTTGAAAATGTGAAAAGTTTATGGATGGTTGGATGGACAGACGGATGGATGATGATCAGAAAAGCTTGAATTTTCAGCTCAGGTGAGCTACATAAGAAAAGAATAGGCTATCTTAATAAAGTTGTCTGTTTGCCCTCTCTTGACCGACTGTCAGATTAAAATGATCCATCTCAATTTTTTTTAAACCTTCAGAAATTGATCTAAATTTCAAAAAAAAGAGCCTCGGAACTTTTTGAAATACATGCATTCTACATGTGATTGATAAAGCATTCATCACTTCTTTTCAAAGCAAAGATCTGAAGTCTGTACAGATCAAAACCTAAAATAAGCTAAGTTTTCATTCACTATTTATAACTTACTTTATTAATGACCTAAGTGCATGTATGAATTATATTTTATTGTTTAAGAGTTACTTAAGGACATTGGCAAGTCAGGGCTTTCCGGAGAAAAAAGGTTTAATACATGGGTTTTTTCACTTGTAAAATAGTGATTGAGAGTGATCTCCCGTGTAGAATTCTCTAAGCAGTGAAAACCAGTAAAGCGTGTGTTATAGAGGTAAACAAAAGCATGTGTACTTCCTTCAACAGGTAGAATCATCTATACAGCAAGAAAGAAAAGTAGTAATGGCTTTGTTGTACATTGTATTCAGGGACAAAGAGCAAACAGGTCGTCATTTACCACAATTATGCTCAGTATGCTGGGAAGGGCAAAGAAGTTACATATGCTGAAAAGTAGGTCGACCATGCCGACTGAGAACTTAGGTTGTGTGAAAGAATCAGCATTTAGTAATTACGAATAAAAGTTAAAAATAAATCCATACCAATATTTTTATGACAATGTATTTCAATCAATTCAGTCAATTACATGATGAAAACAATCAACCAGTCACTTGACCAATTTTAGCTGTTAAGGGACGCAACTCAAAAATGATGATCAGTGCCGGTATATCCATGTCTTTCTTCTATATATACATTTTCAACCAAAATATCTAGAAGTCATAGGAAATGAAGTTACAATAATGTATATAATTCAAAAACTGTATGAAATAAATGAGTTTTGAAGAAATATTATGGTGAAAAATTATGTAGGTCCCTTTTATCAACATTTTACATAGGAAATGCATTAAGAATTGTAAAAACACCAATTTGACAAAATCTAAAAACGAATGCTGGATTGGTAGGTAAAACGATCCAGAATATAGCCTATCTAGTACATTTAAACCTACTCAAAAGTTCTTGAAAAATTCTATACAATAACCAGGAACCTTGCCAATGTCCTTAAAACATGACTTATAGTTTATCATGGCCATGGTTTGTAAGTTACTCTTTTCATGACCTACACGTACATGAGATCTACACATCAGCTGTTAGTTATCATGCTTTGTTACTCATTTTGTGACCTACATTAGATCTACACATCAGCTGTAGTTTTTCACTCTTTATAAGTTACTATATTTGTGACCTACATTAGATCTACATGTCAGCTGTAATATTTCACTCAGTCTTTACAAGTTACTATATTTGTGACCTACATTAGATCTACATGTCAGCTGTGGTTTTTTCACTCTTTATAAGTTAATTACTATACTTGTGACCTACATTAGATCTACACATCAGCTGTAGTTTTTCACTCTTTATAAGTTACTGTTTTTTGTGACCTACATTAGATCTACACGTCAACTGTAGTTTTTCACTCTTTATAAGTTACTATATTCGTAACTTACATGAGATCTACACGTCAGCTGTAGTTTTTTAGCCAATGCCTGTTTCTCTCGTTCTTTCTCCTCTCGTCTCTCGTTTTCCAGTCTCTTGTATTCCCGCCAGTCATTAATCACACCCTTTGGTCCAGTCTGAAAGTTCACAAGATATTTGTTATATCAGTCACTGTGAAGTGCATTAATTTTTTTCTCTTTTGACCATGTAATAGATTACCTTGGTATGTAAAAATGACAAAATCTTGTGTTTATAGTTATATCATTACGTGTAGTACATCTTAACCAAGAAGAAAGTTGAACATAAATCAACTAGACTAAGTACTTATATAATGATTAGTAATCCACTGAAGAGAAGAATTAATTGACTAGAAGCAGGAAATATGGATTTCATCACAACAGCTTGAGAACAAAATAAACATTGATGTGAGAGTCAGAAATATTTGCCGTGTCTATAAATTTCCTTGTATTTAAATAATTGCAAAATATACATGTAAAGCTACACAATGGATTACTCAGGTCATAAGCTGAGTTAAATATCTTGCTTAGCTTTAATATTTATACATTTTTATTTTTCTTATACCAGGGACCTATCTACTAGTAAATATGTCCCTGCTTATACATACTAAATTATTCCTACTACGATTATAATGTACCCAAATAGTATACCTGTCAATTCACTGGAGATGTAACTGCACCTATAATCTTTGGGCTGCAAATGTTTTTGGAAGGTTTTTCGTTGTAAAAGTAAGACTTACATTTGTGGAAAATCCACTGTAATCTTTTAATCGCGGTTCTGGAACACTGGAGGTTTTCGGTTCAGGTTTTACAATCTCCTCTTCCTCATCCTCTCGTTCACCCTCGTCACTACTACAATAATTGTCTACCTTCTCTCCAAGAATTCGGTCATCTGGGCTTAACGCCATCTTTTTGTTCCTTGAAATTAGAAACAATTTAGCATAAATGAGATTATGATGGGAATATATATTGTACAGTACAACATGCTTATAGCTGTAACTGGTGAGGAATGAAACAGAGCAGAAAAGGAATCAAACTACGGCTCCCTGAATCACTACTCAGGTGCTCTACTGAGTTATCTTGCCACCAGCGATGAAACCTGCCTGACCTCCACATTCTCCCCTCCTTAAAGGTCTTTGCCACCGCAAAGACACCAGCTCAGACTCTCCTCTGGCAGGTCTTTCACCTGTCACTTGCAGGGCACAGTGCAGCACAAAATGCACAAGGCAAGAAAGAAAAATGTGATGGACATCTTACACTTATTCAACAATAGACAACCATTTTATGTATCACACAAACTGACAACCGTTAATGTCTATATGTCTATGTCTAAAGATAAAAATGTTTTTCATTATTACAATTATGTGATGCAGCATTTCCATGTACTTGTGTCAAAAACTTTGTTTTGCAAATAATTTAGCTTTATATATATATTTATGGTAGGATTAAAACCAGCAACCTTCTTCTAACAAGGAAAGAGGAGCTTGTGTTATCAGACTGGCATATATTTACACACTGTATATCACATTAAAAGTATTGAAAAAGTTTAGTGAGTGAAGTGAGCTCTTATAACAACACTTGGGTGAAGAGAAGCTTCAGACTGTACACAATAATCAACATAATTTTTTTCAGCTGTAACCTCAACACCCACAATGCAACACAAATGTGTCTCACTGATAACTGTGTTCTCACAGTAACACAGAAGTTAAAAACAACAACAACAACAAATAAACTCACCTTGATTTAATGGATATATGCAAAAAGATATACATGTAGTAGATTAAATGTTCTTTGTTAAAAATTTGCATTTTCAGACTTCATAATGGAATGCAGCTAACTGTAACATAAGGCGTCATGTGATGTCACAATCTAGACATTCCAATGTCAAGTGTGGTTTGAAGAGGTAGATCTAAATTATAGTAAACTGTAAAGCATAGGCAACTGCACTCCCCTCATTGGTAACACGGCCAACATGTAAACCACTGAATTAAGACATTCAACAAAATTACTACATGTAATTTACTATGTACTAAATAAGGCCACTATGAGACCTTTTATTTTTGACAACAAGAGGGAAAAAAGGTTAATCAGACGTTTTTGAGGGGACACAAAGGTAAATTAGCTTTGTTTTCATATGATACCCATATATACTGGCAAAATTATTGAGGGGATTCAACGATAAACATGATAGATTAGCTTAGTTTTCTGTATTACAGAACATGTATATACTGACACAAAATATGGAAGGGAAACACTACCCATCCTCTCGGTTCCTGTGGTCCTGCTTTTTTAGGGTACATGTACCATGATGTACGCAGGCCAAACTCTTTCATCAGCTGCCGAACAACTTTTACAGTCATTTTACCGATAAAGAATATTTGCCAGTATCGAATATTTTTTAATTTAATTAATCTTGACAAACATAGTGATGGGTTTAAAAATTTCTTACTAGGTAAATACAATAAAAGGATGAATATTATATCCCTGAGTTGTGTCTTTGTAACATCTGCATGATTATTTTTCACACTTTTGTACCTTTTACAAATTGAAACAATGACCCAGATTTGAACACGTGCAAGTGCAAGTCATAGAAAACGAAAGTGTGTGAACAAATGCATCTAAATCAAACTTTTCAGTGTGCTGTTGATCCAGATTGAGTATGTTATCAATATTTAGGATAACTGTAACAAATTTACATATTAAAATAAACAATAATTGACTTTTAATTGAAATTATAAGATTCAAACTAACCATGTGTTGTTTTCCTAGTTTTGAATCATGAGTTTTTCGAAGTTTGAAAACTGTGAAAACGACAGTCGTTTTACGGGATGCAAGAACATGAAAAGCTCACGGAAGTGAAAAAACTACCAAAATAAATTACAAGCAAAGATATTCCATGAAAATTATGTCTCTGAGATGGTTGATTTAATTTTAATGAAGCATATCACGAAAAGTTTATCATAAAATGCAAAATTTTTAATACTGTTTAGTTTTTGAAAAAAAAAAAATCATTTAAATCAACAAGTTATGTTAATATACTTTATGTAGAATTTTCTTGAAGGCATATTTCAAAAATTATTTCGACCCGCCGATTTTATTTATTGGGTCAGCAATAGTAGAGGGCGCTCGATTCGATACGGAAAAATCAATTCGAAACTAGGAAAATAGGGGGGTGTTGTAATTGACATCTCTGTGCCTGTACCATTCAAATTTTGGGAATTTTGGTACCACTTATTTAAAAAGCATAGAAATACAATTTAAATAACAACCAAGAACATTTGGAACTTCGACCATGTAGGATGCGTGCAAGACATAACAACAAACCGATTCGTTACCAGTAAAACGACTGTACATAACATTTTGTTGTCCATATCATTAAAATAAGACAATAAACAAACAAAGGAACAACAGCAAAAAATCTATCACAAAAGCACATACCTTTTTGTCTACAAATCTGTGCAAACAATAATAAAACATTTAGCGGTACGGAAATAAAAAATGCTAATATTATTTCGAATTCACACCGGAAACATTGTACGGAATGAAAAAGACAAAACCCTCGAAGACCGATCCTGATGATCCGGTTTAATTTCTTCCTTAGTTTAGCCTTGGAAGTGATTTATGTGTCTCTATATTCACAGCAGGAATATAATATCTCGATTATTTCCTCATCTGACATTTCATCATCATTACAAGGTGTATTGTAAATACTTTTGGTGTGAGGCGTTTTGCTTACGTAAGATTAAATTACTTCTTATTCATTTTGTATACCATATGACAGCACAGGCGCCTGAAGTGTGGATCGATAGCTCCCCCCCCCCCCCCATTTAAAAAAAAATTAAGAGCTTATAATTTCTCAAAAATATAAAATTTCCCCATCAATCACATCCATATGTCGTTCTATGCAAGCATAGTGTACCTTTTCTTACGTTTAGAGAATGGCTTTATACGGTATACTAAAAATTTAGTATACCGTACAAGGCCATTCTCTAAACGTAAGAAAAGGTACAATCTGCTTGCATAGAACGACATATGGATAATTATGACTGATGGGGGAAATTTTTATATTATTGAGAAATTATAAGCTCTTACATTTTATTTTATTATTATTAAAGGGGGGAGGGGGCTATCGATCCACACTTCCGGCGCCTGTGATGAGTGGTATCCATGTATCCTTTGCTGTGGATTATACATGCATACATTTTCCCTGTATTTGAAACACAGTTGGTATAACTCTATGTTTTGCTGTCATCCGACTCCACATATGGACAAAGAAAAATAATTTGCTTGCTTTTCGATCAAGAAAAATAATTTTAAAAAATCACTGAAGACCCCCCCCCCCCATCCCCCCATACACCCACACAAACAAAGTCAACAACCAAAGGCTTAAAACACTGTCAAATCACATAAATCAAAATGCACAAATTGAAAAAATAATTTGCCGGACTTTTTATATACAATATATTGAATAATTTTTTTTCAAATCAATAAATGTTATGACTTGAAAGATTTGGCATTTTGTCCCATGATATTACACATGTATATCTTCAGAGAGCCAACTGAGATAGACATATTCAGGTTTAACTTTAATATCTTATAATAATAATAATAATAATAATAATAAAACTTTATTTAAAGAAGGTAACCTGGTTAGTGCATGCACTATTCTTCCCCAGGGCCTTCTATATATCAATTACAAATATAAACAAGTACACATGTAAATAAAACAGATATAGTCTTAAGGAATTACAATCACAAAATTATGAATAGAGTGTCCATGTCTGGTAATATGTACATACAACTAACAATCACATTGTAGATAGGATATCAAAATCTTACTGTGCTCAAATAATTGTACGAACAGCTTGATTCATAAACGGCAAGCTCCCCTCCCCTATACTAAAGTAATACTTTTCAGACCCGTAGGATACAATTTCAAGTAAGGGGGTCGGGGGTTGGAGCAATCTTATCTCAAAAATCTTAACAAGGAAAAAAGAAAAAGGAAAAAGTTTATTAAAGCCTCCCTTTTCCTCGGATCTTACATACCTGCTCTTATAGGGTCCATGATTGTAGGCCAAGCTCTTTCAATCTTAACAAGTTTTTGTTTTTCAAATCAATATTGAATAACACGCGTACAAGTATCAAATTAGCTCCCCTTCTTAAAATTCTTTTAAAAGAAACATTTCAGGCCATTGATTGGATTCGTTTTAATAATTGGCTCACATTTAAGTCCCTTAAATGAATAAATAGATAAATAAATAAATAAAAATGGATAATAATGTTTTTTTTTCTTTGCTATCACGTCAAAAGCGGTCAAAAAGTCCTTGTACATACACATTTCTTTACATTTATAAAATGTTTTTAATTAATTAAAAAAAAAATCAATAAAACTGTCCTTTTTATAATCAAAGTACATGGCTACCACGCACTTTATTTTAAAGCTATATATGGCGTATCTGAGCTAAAAAATAAAAGTACGAAACTGAGTGTAGACGAACATGATATTTATTATTTACGTTCAAATTCAAATTTTCACCGATTTTGAACTTGAAATACCCCACGTTTCTATAGTTAAATTGACTTCAAATTGTGTCTGATATTTAAATGCAGAGTCGGTAAATAAATCGGTTATTGTTTTAAATTTCTAATATCTATGAAACGCGATTGATTTAAATTGTGTAATTTACAGGAAAGTCCTATCTTTATATAAAGTAATAAAACAAATGAAAAGATCTTTTTAATTCTAGTTAGTCTGAACTTATCAAAAATACGCCATATATGACTTTAAAATTTAAATATCCTTAAGTTCTTCCCTTTTACTAAACACACTGAATGACAGCCCACTTAAATGCACGCCTTAAATTGTCTAATGGTTTTCAATAATTAAATAGAAAATATGCGACTAAAGTTCCGGAAAAGTGCCTCCATTGTTTGACAAGAGCATATACCAAAAGTTAACTTACAAATTTTATCTCAAACAGACAAGAATTGCATGGGGTTACCGAAGCAAATAGCTACTGCTGACAATCAGTTTTGCTGTAAACTGTCAACTTTCTGTAAAACGTAAAGCGTTTTCAAACATGTCTGGTACACCGTTGATGCCCGTTCAGTTGCAACAACCCGCCGCAGACACAAAATCTCCGGTAACGTACCATAACCACCAAAGAGGACAAAAGACGGAGTCCAGTTTGCCCTTTCTTAAGGAGGATCAGTACACGGATACCATATTACTGATAGAGGGAAAGAAGTTGTTCATCAACAGATGCATTCTGGGATACGCTTCGCCTCATTTCCAAAAACTCCTAGACGCTGCTAATAAGGCGGCCCTAACAGAGAAGAAAACTAAGGCAGAGGTTAAAATCAGCGACAAGACTTATTCTGATTTTGTAGAACTTTTGTCTTATCTCCACCCGGCAACGAGTAATGATTTAACAGGTATATTGTTTGTTAAAATGTTACATGCAAAAGTTTCCAGTAATATTTATATTCTTGAGCCGCTGTGAAATAACATAAAATGCATGAGAATCAGAACTGAAAATATATTTTTTTTTTTTGGTTTTGTTCAAGCAGTTGTACTGTTACAGTATTTAATCATTCTGCAATGACAAAGTGGCACGGGAAAAAAATATAGTAAGCTGGACATTATTAATATAGAGAGTCTGAATCGAATGTCAGTGCATGTATATGAAACAAACTTAAGGCCTCTTAAAATATACATATTCCGGTATGAAGCGTCTCAAGTCACTTTCAAAATTGGAACTGCTTTGTTATAGGAGAGTAATAAAGATGAGAATTAATTTTTTTAGCTGTACAAAATCACTTTCATTACAGAGAAGGCAGCTGTAAAACTACTACCGCTTGCAAATGAGTATGAAATGATTCCCCTCAAAGAAAAATGTGAAAAAGTACTAATCGGTAGTCTTCGAAAATCACCTTCAAATCCAAAAGCCTCTAAGGGACCCCCAGCATATAAACATCGGCGGGACAACGCCCCTGAAATTCTCCTCAAATGCATAAAATCTGCGGATGCCGGTTCATCGAAGCCACTATTGGAAGAGTGTGTTCGAATTTTCTCCAATCCTGAAATACCTCTAAAAGATCTTAAAGCCAGTACAGAAATTTCCGATCAAGTGAAGGCACGGATCTATGAAAACCGAATGGACAACACTTCTAATAAGATGTCAAAGTTAGCCAACGAACTTGAAAAGGAGAGAAACGAAAAGGAAAAACTTCGATCACAGCTGAACGACCGATACGCAGCAAACACCAAAAGCCGAATGAGTCGGCTAACCAGGTTTGGTTCGGACCCCTCTCTTGATAAGCCAAGTAACCAGATAATGAACCAGGTTCCACCAGCTCACCACCATCACTCACATCGCCCTAGCAACGTAAACAGTCAGGGACGCGAGAAGTTTTCAAGATTTAATGCCAAGTAGCCATCGTATTAGAAAAAAAATTGTTTAACTAAAAAAGTATTAACTAAAGGCTTTGGGGATATTTGTATGTATTTTTTCCATTTAACAAAAAAAACTGATTTATATGTACTGTATTTTAATACCTTTTTGCTATAGATAAATGTCGACTCAAATTAAAAAAAAAAGTAACTGCAGTTGTTCCTATTTGATTGCAGTTGAACAATGGGCCAACTAGTTGCAAGAAAAAATCCCAACATTGCAAAAGACAACCAGTTTCAAATATATGTCCCTTAAATAAAAAAGTAGAAAATTCCGAATGATGCAAATGTTAACGCAGAATAAAACATTTTGTTAACCATAAACAAGAATTACATGTATGACCCTAAAAAAGAATCATTATGCAACATACTCATAAAGATACAATAATAGTGTACTTTGCACGCCATGCTCTTCTTCTGTATATTCTGATAAGTATAATACTTTTCCATAAAAATAATTATAAGCTTAATTTCTTTTCCGAACATTATGCACTCATAAATTTTAAAACTTATTTAATTCACTGCTGGAATGGTGTGATAGAAATTAAATTGCTGGAAATGCATACATATTGATCTTCAAACGTCAAGAGATTAAAAAGAACCCCACAAAATATCTTCCATGTATGCAACACTCTTTGAGTTTCATGCTGTCTTCCAGAGTATCCGAAACCAGGACGCATTCGTCATTTTGGTTGTCCCATCTTTGGGGGAAAATACAGGCCCCGGATCGGAATCTACAGGTAAATTTATGGACAAAGAATTTTTTTTGCAGGACGATTATCTTATTCTTATACATTAATGTTGGTTTTAGACGGAAACATTGGTAATTCTGAACGTTATTGGCAAAGTCATAGTTTTTATGCAATGGATGTTCTCATACTGTGTGCAGAAATACCCATGGGATCTTTAATGCAATGAGTAATCGCAAAGTAATCAATTGCATCGATCATAGAAGAATATTTTTAAGACGAAACATTTTCATTAATTTGGAAAATGGTTGCAAACAATATATAGCTGTAAAAATGTGGAGGTTTTTCTACTTGGATCACACAAAGCTTTGTTGAAGTGTGCGGATAAGATATACTAGTGATCACATCACCTTTGTGATGAAGTCAATCATATAAGCTAGTTGGTATGGTCTTCTAGAGAAATTTACTATTTTATACAAGATACAAGATATAAAGAAAAGTGATTGGAAGGAATGAAACAAATTATTGATCAAGATATGTGTTAGCACAACAAAGGCAAATGAAAAGACAATTATTGCAACGTGAACTTGCATGAAGAGAGGGTGAAACGTCAAAATCAGGGTTGTAACTGATTACAGGCAAATGTCCCAAGACATTTATGATGGTTGCAAGGGAAAAAAATTGAAAGAAATTTGTTTGAAAGAAAGACATAATGTCAGATAACTACCGGTAACATCAACAGAGCTTGTAACATGAAATCCTTCAAAGATTAATATGAACTTAGGAATACTAGAAATCCAGGTAAAATTACATGGAAATGCAGAAAAGAAGGAAATGCAGAAAAGAACCACTGAATGAATAGATTCCGGAATATGTGTGCAACTGCATAGTCAGATATCTTGAGATGGAACATAATGCCGTTCTCTACATATTGTCATCGGCGGCAATATGTGCCTATACTCAGTGCACATATTGTCGCCGAAAATTTATGTTTGTTTAAGATATTTTTTGTAGTTTTGAGAAAGAGTTTTTTTTTTTGGAAATCGTAAAAACGTGTCACATCGGCACATTTCTTTTTAAAAGCGTAATAAGCAATAGCCTGAGATTCTCTTGAATTTACACAAATATAGTATTCAAATTGAAAAGTACACCAGTTTGTAGCTTTCACGAGATTGTATGTTCACTAAAAGAAAAAGACAATGTTTTTAACACATATTTGTTACTTTTAACTTTAGCAGTTGCAATAAAATGCTATACTTAAAATACAAATTGCACTGCGAAGAGCTCGAGGAATCAAGGTTCAATTAACATGATTACAAATTCTTTTACAATACCACAACTTTTTTTCTTCTCTCCTACCTTCAAACAAAACTTTGGCGACAAAATATACAATTTCTGGAAGCATATATCATTGCACCACATGCACAATGAGTGTCAATATGTAAATTACATTTTCTTGCCTATTCTTCAAGGTCAGGGATAGAGAAAAAATGCTCATCTCGACATATATTGTCTCCGATATCAATATGTACCGATGAACGACAATGTCTGCATCGAGGGTTATGTTTCTGGCGACAATATGTACAGAACGACAAAATATACCGTCACATACTTTTTCTTTTCAGATAGGGAAAATCATAAACCTCTTATCATCACTAAGCCTAGCAAAATGAACTGATCGACAAAGAATATCAATTACGACATGGATAATACATGCACGCTACTTGATGTGTAAATGAAAGGTTTTCCCTACGTTTTTCATAATACTTTTTATTACAAGTCAATAAAATCAATGAAGCAAAAGGGAATTAAATTAAGTAGATTAAAATTCTTGAAAATATACAGTACGACCTCGTTATCTCGAAGTCGAAGTGATCAAGAAGATACAAGGAAAGATAACCGAGGATTCGAGATATCCAGGGTGAAATACTTAAGGAATAAGCAGTTGCGACTTCAAAATCACTTCGACATATCCATGATATTCAAAATATCCGTGTTCGAGATACCGAAGTTCAACAATAATACATTGTCACAAGTCTAATACTGACTTTCACAAACAGATAGGAACAAGTATTCACTGATTGTTATCAGTCCAGAAAGAATAGAAATTTATATTATTTGGAAGGAACACATGATTCACCAGAAAAAGAAGAAAAGATATATTAGCACTGTTTGTCGTCAGCAACACTGCTATAAAGGGAAGCGATCGAATGGTGACGACAAAGGAATGGATAGCTGTTTAAGATATATGAAAATAAAGAGACCACCGGAAATACTAAATACATAATATTGACTTGTATGGATGTTGGTGTCGTTGTTGATTGTCGCTGATTTCATAATTCGTACAATGAAATATGTGGAGATAACAACAGTATTCGAGCTCCATTTAACATTACAAAATTGGAGCAGAGCAAACACAAACCTCTAAGACCTCAGAGGTGGAATCAGGTGCCATGGAGGAGTGAGCATTTCATGCCGACCGGTCACACCCGCAGTGTGCTGCTTGTCATGATCGGGAAATAACGGAAAAATCCATCGACAAATCAGTGTGTAAATAATGGCCTAACAATTAGTATGTCTCTCCAGACTTCTATGGAGATTTATCCTCCTGATCCTAACTGAAATTTTCATGGCACACATTTTCCTCTCCCTCAATATAAAATTGTCAAATTGTAAGTTTTGAAGCTAGCTCTCTGTATTTACTGCCAATAGGTTAATTAAAAATTACAATATGGCTTAATAATTCATTTTCTTTTCCCTACTATAATAGTAATTATATGGTGGTATTTTAATTAAGATATACATGCATTTCTGTAGATACCTAACAAAAATTTTTACAGTTAATTTTGATAGTTTACTATTATAATAGCTATTTATAGTAAATACTTTCAGTTAATACTTTGTTTTACTATGAAAAATTATTTTAGAACTTTTGGGCCTTATTATATCTTTAATTACATACCAATGAAGTGAATTATAGAAATAAGTTGTGATATGCAGGTAACATTTCATTTTAAAATTAAAACATGGCATGTGAGTCTTGAAGGAGATTTTGAAAATTCATAGTAAAATTACTTTGATTTACTATGATAGTTAAAACTTTGATTTACATAGTAAAACTTTGATACTATAGTGTACTTTAGTGAATATACAATAGTTAACTATAGTAAACTATAGTTTACCATAGTATTTTTGGTTAGGATAAGTACATGTATCTTATAGGGTCTTTACAATACGAATGAAAAGTATCATTTTCATATATTCATGATATATTCTGGTTGTATACTGAGACTGCACTTTTGTTAGGAGAACTATTTTTTTAATCATATCAATGGTGATTTTAAATATTTTTCAATACCACATGAGTGATTCAAACATGACAAATGATATCATATTTACAATGTAAGTTAAAAGTCTATATATGCAGTTTTTTCCCCCTTCCTTCATAAAGTATAGTTACAAAACTTAACCTGGTAGTCTTTTCCAAAAAACCACACATGTCAATACGAATATTCCGATCGACAAATAACTTTCAATATGATATAAACAATTTTCTGATAACCTTTGTAATGAAGTATATTTCAAAATAAAAACGTGCAATAAATCATACCAAAATATAAAGATAATCCCTTCTTTGTCTTTTGCAATTGCATACACTTTTGTTAAAATCAAATAATTTCTGTGCACATGAATGTGAATTCTAGTTTCAGATTTCTACAATAAATTGTTACCTGAAGAAACAGTCTTCTATATCGCTAAACAAACTCTGTCTCTGTAAACCTTTTCAATTAAATTGCTCTTTTTTGTTTTTATGAACACAACACAACGTATTGATTATAAATGCATTTTCACAAGGAAAAAAAAAACTACAAGCCACAAGGAAAATTTTTAAATTACATAATGTCACAAGAAAAGTAAACAAGCTGAGGTTGTCAAGGAAAAGTAATAATTTGTAGAATATACCCGGTTTATATGTGTTTCTACCACATCGATCTGACATTCTTGTTCAGGAAATTCACATGTAAACATAGGTTTCATATCCAGTACGAGTAAACAAAAGGTTTTTTTTTTCTCAAACTCGAGTTTCCTCATTTCTTTCATTTAGAAATTGAAACTTTTTAAATTACAATTCGAGCAAACTGATGACTAACAAGCTCTGTTTATGAGACTTGTTTTCTCAAAATATACAACATGGGCTAGTAATTGGTGGGGCCTTGAACATGTGCAAAAAGACTTCGAAATTTTTATTTTTACCCTATTAGCCAATTGGAGGAAAAAAAGAGTTTTTCTACAAAAACCTAGTTCCCTGAACTCCTCTAACATTTTTTTGCAATAACCAGCCCAGCTCTTGGAATATGATTGGTGTTTTCCTATAGATGTGCAATAAGGTTTTTGAATTTCAGTTTTCATCCTTGGGGCGATTGGGGGTCTAAAAATTTCGTTTTGATTTGTACATAAAACCTTAAGCTTGTTACCCATATACAAAGGCGAGTACATTTAGAGGCAAACACCTAAATGCAGGTATTACTGTTTTATGACAGCATCTAGTAAATTTTAGGTTCACTTTAATTTGAAACGGGCACAGTAAAGCAACAGATCAGAATTGTCCAATGTGTTTCTCATCGTTTCAGAAAACGAAAAAAAAAAAAAAAGAAGACCATCCAGAATGATGAACAAGTTGATAATGGGAGAATAACAAGTTAAAACTCATCTCATGTATCAGGAAATAAAGAGCTGTTTATTTAAATTATTTATTGCAATAATCTATGAACAAACAATGTAGAAGTAATGCCTCCTCAGAGGCCCTCACGAATATATCTTCACCTGGGGTGCTTGGAGCTCCCTGGATCAGATAGAAAAAATAAATATTTGATATATCTAAATGTACAGATATTCATGAATATGTATATTTAACATGGACTTTCTACATTAATTAGTGGATGTGTTATTATTAATTTAAAATGAAAAAAAAAATACATTTTCAAAATGCATCAGTTTGTAGAATATCTGTATATTTTAGATCTTTAATCATGAGTTCTGTGTGTACTCTTTGTATAAATAAATCGATTGTTCATGTATATACTTTGAATAAGGATTGGGTATATTTATAATTTTATTTCTATATTGATATATATGCAGTGTGACCACGTAATTTGTAAATGAAATTGTTATATAAAATATATAATTTTATGCATATATATCTATGGAAAGGATTTTGACCTCGAGCTCTCTCCAATCCTAGACAGCAATGTTTTACGTACTTGACACCGTTCCCCAGTTCCCGCCATTGATTGATCACGTGATGCTGTAGCTAGCAGACGAAAGCTGCTGATATACAAGACTGAAGCATGATGGCCGATACTTAAAGTAAAATATATGATGTTCAAAACACAACGATGAGCTGGTGGCTGATGAATTTTATTTTCGGATTATTTACTTTCTCTGAGCTTTGTGTTGCAGGTAAATGTTTTTTGTTTAATTCAATGTTGAAGAATTCTTTGCCTATGAAGCAATGTGCATTGCATTTTTTTTACGACCTTCACCGAGAATATGGCATGTGTTTTGCATATAGCTCATATGAATGCATCTCTCAATGCTGAGAACATTTCTTTTCAGATAATTTGGGATATTCTGCAATCTTCTGATATTTTTCATTCTTTTAAAATTAAGATCAATGAAAAATTTCGTTTGAATAGCTTAATTAGCAACTTTAATCTTTGTGAATTGAAAATATCTGTGCAAACATTACACACAAATAACACTGAACCTTTAATTTGGTTTTATGCATATGAGAGCAAAGCAAACAGTTCTGGCCAACCTATTTATAGTAGTATAATATAATATTGCAACCTACATTTCCTCAAGAATTTAACATAAAATTCAATTAAAAAAAATGTTTGCAATAGCCCCTGCGCATTTCTCTCTCAAATACTTAACACCATGTGTACCTTTTCATGTATATAGTTTACTTCTTCGCATATATGAAAATAACACCCATGGCGACAGTACTTAAATCAATTACATGTAATGTTTGATACAAAGGCCTAGCTATTTAACAGCGATAGCGACATGTCGAAAGTACAAAGTAATCCTTGTTTGAGCATGGCATAACACCCCAGAGAACAAAAATCAATTAAAACTTCACTACTACAGCAATAATGAGATATAAATATTTAACTAACCCGTGGCCATGGCGTGCTATTGAACATTGTCAGCAGACAGGATTCCGATTTTACACGCATACGAATGTTTGCTCGATAATGGTTTATCATCTAACGGGTAATGATTTATAAGAGTATACAAGTGCATGTAAACATTAATTAAAAACAAAACAAAACTATACTTAATATGACTCCATCAGATTTTCTAAAAATGTTGCTTCTACATTGAAGTCTCAAACGGTTCATTTTTATAGCCTTATGTATAATGTAAAATATTAAAATATAATAAATTTGTACAGGAAATCAGTGTTCGAATAAAATTTGGATAGTATAAGACTACAAGCGCTCAAAATATAGCATAACTATGTCTTTTATTTTAGTTACAATTTTCCAATACTGCAATACAAACTATACCTGAATGCTTTTATAAAATGATAAAAAGTACATTTTGCAGAAAAGTTCTATGACATACTACATAATGGTTTAAAATTTCTACGTGCGAAAAGAATTTGTTAATTTCTTCTCTGAAATCGGACAGCAGCGCGTCATAGGTTAAATATCAGATGCACCCAATTCCAGTATATAGAGATGGTCATATTTTTTGCTCCTTGATTCATGATGACTTATTGGACTTTGTTTATAGTATACATAGCATAATTTACAAAATTATATGTCATAGTTAGAGCTTTCCAATGCAACAGAGTTGGTAATTGAGTGTTGATATTTGCTGTCAATAACAATTTTCGCGAGATATCCTCGAAAAATAAGGAGAAAAATAAAGGATGAAAACAGTAAAACAAAATCCAAATACATTCTATACCTTTAGAAATATAAATTATATATGACTCTATTAACGAACATAGAACTCTCTTACAAAATCGAAAAAAAAACAAATTCCCTGCTGAATTTTATATTCATGTTATTTTGATGGCACAAAAGCTTAATTCTATTAATAGGTCGTTATACTTCTGTTCTAAATCGATTAACTCTAGAGGCCTTACAGGCCCACATTCTGAATCATTTCAAGCATGTTTCGCAAATTGTGTTTTTTCTTCTTCAATTCGATCTCTCGTTTTGTGTATTGCTTGGTGTCTTTGCAATAAACACATGACCGGAAACGTGTTCCACTGCGCTGTTATTGGGATGGTGACTTGATGTGAATCTATCGAAAACCTGCATGCGAAATGATCATTGATTACACTTTATCTAAAATCATTCAGCATAATGCTCTCTGATTGGGAGATTTATATAGCGAAAATATTCCGTAAGACTTTGACCACGCACTCAGTTCTTTGTGATATTTCAAAAATAATTATCTGCAAATAATAATGTATTAGGGCAATAAATGATATTTAACTGGGAAATGAAGCCTTAGGAAATTTGGAAATACGACCCTCATTTAACCCTTGCAGATATTACTAAAAGAATGAGAAAATGCAAAAGAGAGACACAAATTGAAAAAGTCAAGTACATTGACAGTGCATTGTTACAGAATTTCATTCAAAAGTCATAAATATGAATAGTGATCCAAGAGAATTATTACTTCTAAAATGCATAATAATATTAAAAGAGAAACAATTACATATAATGAAATCAGTATTCAAAACTGTTAATTACGTGGATTTTTTTTTTCATGTGAAAATAAGCCAATTTAAGCTAATCCATTAATTAATAATATCTACCGTTTAAGTTTTCTTTGACTTTAAATTCTTACATTAATATAGTTGCTGCGATAAATTGCTACAAATGTTCCTCCAGAAACTTCAGCGATCCTTCCTGTCATGACCCCTTCCATCCAGCCTACAATAATCTGACCATAGACTGTGGGGAGGGGCGGGACGGGAGGGTCGGACTTTTTCCTGCGAGGTACTGCACCAAGATCAAAGGCACCAGTTGTAAGTATAAATTTTAATGAGTACTTTTTCGTGTAATTCATAAAAATAAAATAACATTTTGAATGTTATGTTACATAATCCATTGTTTTCTTGACCTTTGTTATACATGTTATACAATGTAGAATAATGGACTATAAAATTAAATGATATTTTAGAAATTATAGAGAAATTAAAAACAATACTTTAAAAAACCAGGTTTTCAACAGAAAAAAATGAATAGATATATTACTGCATTTAAGATATCTTCCTAGGTATTAAAGGAGACGGCAATTTTTCATTTTCGGTAGAATTCAATAGCAACGAAAGAAAAAAAGATTGGTTATTCCCAATAAAAAGATAAGTTTACGGTATAACTGCCTCTCAAAACTTTAAAAGCTGTAATACATATTAAATAGCAATAACAGGAAAAAAAATATACCAAATTAAACGGGAATATATGTAAAATCAATGTTATTACCTAACAGTTTGTACTTTGTACTTAATTAAGCATGGAGATAACCTTAAACTTTCTGAAAATAGGGACATAATCACCAGTTACATAGGTGTTTGCTCTGCTCCTTCTTTGTAATGTTTAATGGACTTTTGAGCTCGAATACTGTTCACTATCTCCATATATTTCACGAGAAACATTACATTATATATCTTCATACAATGATGAAATATATGGAGATAACGAACAGTTTTCAAGCTCAAAAGTCCATTAAACAATAAAGATTTTGGAATAGAGCAAACAAGGACCTCTAAAACATTAGAGGTGGTATCAGGTGCCATGGAGGAGTGAGCATCCCCTGCCGACCGGTCACACCCGCCGTGTGCTCCTTGTCATGATTGGAAATAACGGAGAAATCCGTCGACAATTCAGTGTAAATAATGGTCTAACAATCATTATGAAAAACATCAGTCAGCATTTGACTTAATGATAAATTGTATTTGCTGACAAGGTCATTGTATCGACCATAAAACTTACGAAATGATGACTTTAAAAGAAACTGTTAATATTCTTGTTTCATCAACTTGTTTGTCAATAACTTCCCTCGTTTTAGAAATTGTTCATACGTAGAGCATGCTCTTGCGTATCGAATCAACTGAGAGATATAAGGTGATGAAGGTATATTGCTTCATAAGTAAGGGAAGTTGACGATTGAAAAGTTAAAGTCATCAAGTTTATCATAAAGCTTGGTTGTTTGATTACCGTTCATGTCTTTTTCTAGTAAAATATCCAACTATGAAACAGATGTGTCAGACTCTGTGGTATCTTTTATTTCAAGCTCAAATATCGTAATGAAAAGTATTATGTTGGACATACTATTCCGCAATTTGCTTCAAATTTATTGGTTTCACTTGATGTTTGTTTGCCGAGATTTTTACCTAATACAGAATAACGGCGACACATTTAAAACTTCGAGGAGGAAGATTATTACAATATCCCATAAGAGGCTTTCTTATATATGCGATACCGCTGTTGGTTCAATCTTAGCTACCAGTCTTTAATTTAGATCTTTCCATATATATATTATTTTATTCATCACTCTTCCCCGAGTACCTTATTAAGTCTGTTGTCATCGATGATAAATCGTGCACTGCAAGGTTTAATAATAGCTTACTTATCTATCATATTTCTGCAAGTTTCTTATTAAGGTTTCCCTTTAGGTACATAAACAATTGTACAGACATAATTAATCATTTCAATCTTTCAGTTAAAGAAAGACAAGATATTGATTCAAATCTGGTAAGCATAAAAGGATAGTTGAAAAGACTGTCTGGATCTGACAAGTTGGTCTGTTGAATTTAAAATTTCTGATCGAAGAAAAATGCGTCTTAACTCACCATCACTCGTTTATACAACCAAACGAACACGTGGCGATAGACTTGCATGTACTTTTGAATATGCCATTGTTCTGGATTATTCTGCTTAAAAATCTGAGAGATCAAGTTATCAACTGTGCATTTTATCAAACATTAAATAGCACTTCAATTGTTTTTACTTTCAGCTGTAGACGGGACAGAAACCATAATTCGTTCCTGTTCTATAGAGTCCTTGGATACAAATTGTAATCAATTTAATTTGGAGAATGTTTTGTATGACGGATGTGTATCTTCTTGTGAGACAGATGCATGCAATGCTGGATACAGACAAATGGCAGATACACTTCATGTAATCACTGCTGTAATGATTTGTAAATGGTTGTGTTGCATCTTTTAAAATGGATGCACGCAATACAGGATATTAACAAGCATAACAAGTACAAAATGGTCATGTTATTACCAGTGCTATCATTGTAGTCAGTTTGATGGGAAATTGAGTGCAAATGAGAATGATAAATTTCTGACATGACAATCTATAACATATTTTTTTGTAATATACATAAATCAGTATTTGAAATCGCTTTTTAGCACGAAAACAACACGTGATTCAACTGCTCATTTATTATATTTCAGAGGTTTTAACATTTTTTTTTAAAATTTCACTTACATTTGAAAAAAGCATTTACAAAATAATGAAAATTAATTTGTATAATTAATTTCTTTCTGATTTTTTTTAAAGAAAGCAACAAAAATGAACCAAAATGTGTCTTTATCTAAGCAATCTGACAAAATGTATTGATTTTGTTTGTAATAAGAAATAGGTATACTCATTCTAATTCATTTCCATGTGAACTCTTTTTTATGTGTATTTCAATATTTCCTTCCCATCTGTGTTATAGGTAATTGCTAGTTATTGCTAAATTCAATCGGTACACTTGTGATTTGCATACCATATTTGTTGAGGTATATTTTAAAGTACATGTATTGAAGATAATTTTGAAAATTGTTAATTTCAATATGAATTCTACAAGCATAATGCTTAATTATTTTTTCCACATTAACATGTACTTTTGATTGATCTTTTTAAGACAGTAGTGTTAACAATACTTTCCTTTATTAATTGCACATTGAAAAGGATAAATAATTATGAAAAAATACAATCAGATTGAATAGTTTTGATTGACGCTTAGTCTGTGTGTTTATGACAAAATGAATTCTTGAAACCTGTCCTCATCCTCTTCGTAAATCTGTTCCTCTATTCTTTTGCACAAACACACGGACATTATCATTCCAATTAACTGGAAGAGAAAACCAGCATTAATTGATTTTGTTGGCTTGGATGCATATATAAATCAGAATCTGAGGTTTAAATTACCTTGATTCTGACATAATTTGTTCAATAATGACGATATTCTGACCCTAGATTGAAGAGAAATAGTTTGGCTTTCTGCCAAAAGTCTAAGGTAAACATCCTAACGCTGGTCATTAAATCTAACTTGTGAAATTAAAATCACAATCTCGTTTACATATCAATCTTCTTGCTCTAGAGAAAATCAATTTCGTACAAGAAAAATCTACTTTGCAAAAGAAAAATATTGCAAGACCCGGATTCTCCTCTGATTTTTTCATTTTCTTTTGTTTAATGATTGACATGATACATGTATTACATTACCTTTTCATTGAAAAAATTAGTATGAAACTGCTAGGTTGGCAATGTTATTTTTTTTGACGAAAAAAATAGTTTATTCTTATTGTGAAGAAAGATAACTTACCATGAGAGAAGCCGAAACTGTTATTAGTATCAGGGCTAGCCAAAGTTTATTAATTATAAGACTTAGAAGCACTGTCCAACATCCCTATAAATAGCATTATTTTTGTATTACTGTTGTATATTTTAACATTGATTTGTTAAAACAAATCTAGAAAATATTTAATTTCAGTGTGGTTCATTTAATTTTTTCAAACTCTACTCAATACACTGTATTGTAATAACCATGCTGGTCATATTCTAAAATACAATTTAAAACCAAGCAATGAAAGCTTCTTTGAAAAAAAAAAGAATCTATAAAGAAGGTTTTCATTTATTTTGAATTTTGGAAAAATATATTTTTCTACACCTCAGTGGTAACAAAAATTAGCCACTCAAAAATTAGCACAATCTATCTCATTACCTGTAATCATTTTTATTCATTTGAACTTCTATTTGCATTTCAAAGCGAAAACAAACATTTAAACATTGCAAAGTGAATCATTCCGAGACAAATATTTTCCTGTGATTAAAAATTTCTCGAAAAAAGGTGTATTTGTTTTTATTATGGGAATAAGAAACTCTCCCTAAAGATAGAGAAAAAAAAGCCCCCACTCTTTTACTACACGTAGAAAATCCATCTCTCTGATCTATTTGTCAATGAGATCAACCGTTATCATGGTAACTACTAAATGCATTTTCAACCATTGACATTTTTAATACGAGACACTTGCAAATGGATTGAAGAAGTAGTGTATAGTCCTGATTATTTATTTTTTAAAAAAGTAAAATCTCAACTTTAAACACCCTTAACTTCATTTGTACATGCACCTGCGTAATAATTAATGTAAAAAGGAATGTAGTGTGCATGTATGCATTTAGTATTTACCTGAGTAAAAAGTTGGTCATTTTGCATTGTCAGTGAGACAGGAGGCCCCATCACCGGGGCCTTGTATCTGTTCTGCAGTCCTATACATTTGGTCACATTGTTCGTATCATCTGGATATTTACAGCAGCTCTCAGGTACATATTGTAGACGTCCTTGTAATTTAAACAAAACAGCAAAGATAATGAGTCTCTATTTAATGACAGGCAAGAAGTCTGACCTTGTCATAAGATGGGCATACTCTACATATTGCCGGTAAAATTACACTAGTCTTGTTTTTATTAACATATCCATATGCGTTCAGATTAAAATGTTGTTTTTTTTTTTTATATATGTTTGAATTAACAACAAAAATGATGTTTCACAAAAAGGTACTTTTGGGGGCAAACATGCATTTTCATTTACTTTCCATCAGTAAATTACTGTAATCATCAACAAGCTCAGAGTTTCATAATTAAGCTTACCGTTATGTGTAGCCGTTAATGAAAGACTTCTTTAATCCACTATTGACGTGTTTTATGTGGTTTCGACATGAATAATGCAAATGAATTTCCTTATTTCTAAAGCTTTGAATTTCTTAGCACATTTATTGTGTGAAATTTTACAAGTAGTGACGTCCTTTACTGCTTGTGAACTGTACACATTGTATGAGGGTCCTAAAACACTTTTCATGATAAAAAGAGCTAATAGATGCATTAATCTTGTTATACTCTGTAGCTTGAAGAAAAGCTGAATTTCAGACTTAAAGGATGCAAAAGGTGAATATAACAAACAGTGAACAGTCTCATAAATACAGAAAATAATACAAATAGTAAACTGTAATGTTTCTCCTTGTTAAATGTAAATCCCACTATATATTATGTACAATGTAGTTGACAGTTTAGATCAAGAGTCAAGTGTAACATATCGTTTGTCTGTATAAAGATACTTACCTACTTGATTTTTATACCAGTCTGTGGATTTCTTATAAAATGACCAGGAGTAAGTCGAGTTTTCATTTCCTTCTATTCCACAACAATGAAGCTGAAAATACCAAAAAACATTTTATGTAAATAATCATCAGGCCGGTAGGTATTCATTAAAATGTATTATGTATGGAAACAAAGGGTGTGTCCAGAATGAGTTCTCACAAAATACAGAAGACTATAAAACTAAAATTGCGAACAATTTTATGATTTTTAAAGTAATAATGTTTAAAGATTCAAATGGGATTTTTTTTTGCAATATCCTCACAAGCATCCTTGTCTTATAGATGTTTTATACATAAAGATGAAAAATGACAATGATAATATGAGGATGATGATATGGTACTGTGATATTTACTTTTATATTCAGATCGAAGTAATGTTCTGTAGAAATGTTCGAGTTGGCAGGTGAATAGTTCATCCAAAAAATTGAAAGACATTTTTATAGTTAAATCAAACAACTGTGCACTATACTTTAAAAAATTCCAGGCAATAGTAGCAAATTTTAACAAATATCTATAAAAATGTTTAATAGATTGGTCTGAAAACTTGTATTTTGTTAATAGTAATGCAACCCCCCCCCCCCAATTTTTTTGTCTCGAATCTGTCTCAAGGCATTCTTTACGTAGATTCTGAAATACGTAACCGATTGACAATTTTCAGGTAGTTTAATTAATCATTCTTTATAAAGGTAATTCGTCCAATTTCTTAAAATAACAAATTAATGTACTTTCCTTAGCAAGTTATAAAGTATTTTTTCCTCAAAATTTTACTTCAACATTTATCTATTTTAAGTATCACATATTAATATCATTCAAAATCAATAAGCTTGAATTTAAATACTAGTAATCTATATTTCAAAGCATGTAATAAATTAATTTTACTTCTTTTTTATCAAAGGGCAAGTTAATTAAATTTTTTGATGGTCATGATCGCAGTGATAAAGTTGTATCGACATTCAGTTAAATCACCGCTGTGTCTTGCGTTTTAAGTAATAAGTTTAGTGCTCTTGATGATGCAGTAACAACAGGGTATGTATACGTTTCTATAAAAAAAGATCTTGAAACTGATGATACAGATAATGCTGATGAAGATGAAAATGGTGATTTGCCTGTATATTACTGTGGATTGTAACTGGTCCCACGCATGAGTTACGAAATTATCCACGCCGTATGAGTTGTTTAGAGAAGTTTCCATTTGCAACACAATAGATGATTCTATCTAAAGAAAAAAAAAAAAGATTAACACACATATATTACTCATTCGGGTACTTAAGGAGAAATCATTTTCGAAAAAGAAACCTTTAATTTTGCACTTTGACAAATTATAAAGTTTGACAAATTTTGATGATCTGTTATATCCAGAAATTTACTCACTGTTTCTTTATATTGGTAACTCAGGACTCCTCCCACAATTAACGCTAGGAACAAAGCAAGAAGAAGAAGAAAGTGCTAGAAAGAACAATACAAGAAATTGACCTTCAACAGAAATGCACATCTTTAAATTCGATTCCATATATGACTATACAGTATACAAGTGGTTCCAATGAACTTTAATTGAGTAGCAAAATGATTATTCATCTTAGTGATGCTGTCTCTCTATATTTAAATTTAAAAAAATTGCTGTTTTTTTCTTTCTTTTTTTTTTAAATTTTTGGAATATATCGAAATGTGTATATTCTTTGTTATGGTAATCAAGAAAAATGTGCTTTTTAGACGACTCACATGTTGAAGCAAGTTTACATTTTTGTAGAATCTGAACTTTGATAATGTCGATAAGTAAGAAATGAAACTTTACCATTGTCAACATGCCCCTTATTTTCTTGATGGCACCACAGCAGCCCAGGAAAGAGACAATGATACAGACAATCGCCGTAATTATGATTATCCATGGTAAAGATAGATGCACAAACTCTAAAATAATTGTCAGTATACCAAACAGGGATATGTTGTTATCTTTCAAATAGCTGCCATATCCAAGAAGTCCACAACCACCCAACTAAAAATATAGAGCATTATGATTACAAATACATGTATATAAATACTTGGGAACTGCGCCACAGAAACAATGGGAAATTTTACTGTTATTTAATTATATGACTATAAAGGGAAATCCCGTACAGTATAGCTATAGAAGATTTGTACATGTATTTATTTTTGCAACCTTTTCTCTTATGGTATAAAGATAACCATTATTTAAAGAAAGCAAACGAGAGTTCCCCAAAAAGCATCACTTAATTAATATTCATGTACGTATAATATCATATATCACTCTGGGAATCAGAGCGGATTACTTGAGAGATTATTTGTGATTACTTACAAATGTCAGTAGGTTGATTACAAACATTGAGTACTTGACAATTTTTCCACAGCGAGCAAGCCCCATACTAAAAACAGAACAGTAGGACAATGTTAACAGATATTGGATAAATACCTTTCAGAAAGAAGCTTTTCTCTTGGAATAATTATAGAATTCCGTGTCTTGGATATTTAACAGGTGTTTGCAGAATGTGAGATGGAAATATACTTGTCTTAATAACAAGTTTAAATGTAAAACAATCTTGTATTTACCTTCTCATCAAATAACTTATTTTATACCCATGTTTGTTATTTGAATTCAGTTACGGGAATGCAAGTTAGACACTATAATATTGTTGATAAATAATTACCTATGTAAAAATTACATTCATTAAATAGCTGTATCGATCATGTTATTCTAATGCTTCGAAAATTAAATGAAAGAAAATTATTTATATGAAACATGTAAACACAAACTAAACGCTGTACATACCTGTTTCAACCTCTGCATATCTATGTAACCCCAAGATCTGAAAACTCTAACTGATTCGATTCACTGTTTAATAATGTAAGACAATTTTAAACAGCACGGCCGTAACAGTTTTTGATGCTAATTCTCTATAATAAGCTAAAACTCCATGGGTCGTTTCCATGGAAACATTCGTCTGCAGCATCTTCACAATCAATGTTTATCTCTCATTTCGTGTTTTGAGTGCATCAATACTCATTCCCTTAGCCTTCAGGAAAGTATATTGTTTATGTTAGCAGAAGTGCCTGGACAATGCCGACTTTGCTTTTGTAATCGCCTTGGAAGATAATTGATACAACTGTACATGATGTATGCAGTGAAATTACGACAGCACGATACTGTAACAAAATGCAGAACCAATTTCACTGCAATTTATTTCCGACATTGTGTTCAGCATTTCCGGTTATTTTTTTTTTATTTTCATGTATGATTTCCAATGCTCATTAAAAGAAGATGAAAATAGGTTTAAGCTGGAATATGTCTTTTTCTATATGATATAGTATATATCCTTTATTTCATAATACATTTTCAAAATTAATGATTCATTTAATAAAATTACAATCTTTAAAAATAGCTTTTTATTTAAACATTAATAATCATTTAAAACATCATATATATATATATATATATATATATATATATATATATATATATATATATATATATATATATATATATATATATATATATATATATATATATATATATATATATAATTTTGTACTACATGCATTCATGTCCGTCAAAACATCATATTTATGTCCAATTTAGCACTGGCTAATTATGCCGTAGTCTGAAAGTGGTATTTCCCTAGTATAATACTTGATGCTTATATCTGTATACTGTTTGTCAGAAACAGCATCGAATTTACGTCGTCACTCTTGATATGGTTAATCAAGTTTTTCCCAGGCAGGTTCTGCCCTCAAGTGCAATTATATCAATACGTACAAGAAGTATACCAATGGTTAGTTATCCTTTTTTTCTAAAACAGGAAATCTCTATACCTTGATTTTATTTCCCAAAAAAGAATTTTTAATAAAAAATGCAGGGTGTATAAAGTATAAGCCACTAGGAAAGAAATGTAGCCAAAAGATTCTTTAAAATGCCAGAAATGAAATTCAGTCGCCTATTTTTACCATTTTTACCATCTTTGAAATTCATGGTCTGTTTTCTAAATTACTTTATGGAGTGTGTTATATTATTTCTTTACATATTCAATTGCATTGTTTAATTTTTTCAGGATAATCAGAAAAATAAAACACCTCAAAAAATAAGTGAAGAGCCAACAAGAGAAATTTATTTTTTGTAACATGCATGTATTTGTAAATGTAGTGGAAAAATAATGAATTTAACGTGAACACTAATAAATGTCTGATAATAAAAACAGAATAGCAATCAATTAGAAAATAAAAGAGAACAATATCCATCAACAGAGGATTTCAAAAGAGAACTTTTAGGATTTAATGAGGATAAAGAGTTTAAACTATCTTGACTTGCGACCTCTAGCCCTCAATATATCAATACATCGATTTAGAAAACTCTTAATAATGTTTCGGAAGTTATCAAGTGGAATCCTCGACTGTTCCTTACCAAGAGCAATTTCAGTTTACGGAGCGTGTTAGGTTGATTTTGTTTTGGTAAAGTTTGAGTTTGGTGCATGCCCCAAGCAAACTCTACTGGATTAATATAAGGTCAGGGGATTTCGCTGGTCAATCCATCCTCTCAATTGTTTGGTGGAATCAGGTGCCTAGGAAGAGTAAGCATCCCCTGTTGACCGGTCACACCCACCGTGAACCCTACATATTGAAATAGATCTATCTATCTACTCGGTAAAATATAGGTACATATAATAACTGTTCTTTGACAATACGCTGCGTACTTTGAAATGAAAGTTGCGAGGGTATTTCGAAGGAGACATTAAAATGAAGGCCACTTGACACGACAGGCGTTGGTACTATAAAACATTCCTCACTGTTCAAGGCCCTGAGTTCCGAGTAAATGTCTAACTTTGAAGGTCTATGTCGTATCTGGTGAAATCACAAATAAATAATAAGAATACTAGTAATAATAATAATAATAATAATAATAATATTAAAAATAATAATAAATAAATAAAGAGACGTGAAACAACAATCAATCAAACAAACAAACAATCATCAATCAAAAGATGACAAAGAAGTGCAGTAGGATAAAAGAAATAATTAAGATACGATGCACAAGAGATCATTTTTCTGTTTTCTTAATTACAATAGAAATCTTACAGAATTACAGTAAAATGTGATACTAAGGATCTTTGATATAAAATATCTTTCATATAAGACATGTCTGAGATTTTATTTTTTCATTTAGATATAATTGTGTTAGAATATGATAGGTCTACAGAAACATTCTAATTACATACTCGGCATTTTTTTCAGTGTACATATCTGCATAAAATTCACATAAATAAAACGATTAATAGAAACATCGAAACAAGTTATAAATCAATTTCATGGAATTCTTTACAGAATTTAATATCATCGTCAATAAAAAATAGATATTGGCTCTAAGACTTCTAACATTTCCGAGGCGAGAGGGTTACAAGATCGATGGAGATGTCACCCTTAAAGTCCTTGCCTCTTGTAGCCTCGATCAAAACCTGAAAAAAAAAAAAAAAAAAAAAAAAAAAACAAGACGTGTTTGTGAAACACTGATGCCCCCGTATGACAGATTATAGCTAAGGTTAATGTTTCTCAAATATAAGTCCAATTCCAAAGTCAAGGTCAAGAGATCAAAAATATTGCTACCCAAAGAAAGAACTTGTGTCAATGGATATACCTGGTAAATACGAATGCCCAAGCACCAACCATTCAAAAGCAATGGTCATGATTAATGTTTTCTAAATGTGGGTCAAACTCAAAGGTCAAGGTCAAAGGGTCAAAATTAATGGTGCACAGGGGAGGACCTTGTCATAAGAAATACATTTGCAAAATTTAAATGCCCTAGCACCAACTGTTCAGAAGTTATGGCGAAGGTTAATTTTTTTTTTAAGTTGGTCAAACTCCAAATCAAGGTAAAAAGATAAAAATTGTTCGTATCTAAGGTCTTGTCACAAGGAATATGCCTCTGAATTTTCAAGGCCTTAGTACTAACTGTTAAAAATTTATGGCCAAGTTTAAAGGTTTTTAAAAGTGGATCAAACTCTAATGTCAAAGTCAAAAGGTCAACAATATTTACACCCATGGAAATTTCTTGTCACGATAAATACGCATGTGGAATATGAAAGCCTAAGCACAAACTGTTCAAAAGTTATGCCAAGGTTAATGTTGGGTAATTTGTTGCAAAAGTGACTCAAACTACAAGGTCAAGAGGTCAAGAGGAAGGTCTTGTCACAAGGAATACATATGTGAAAAAAGAGACATAGCTCCAACCAATCAAAAGTTAAGGGTAAGGTTATAGTTTTTGCAGACAAACAGACAGACAGATGGACGGACAGGGCAAAATATATATACCGTCGTTTCTTCGATTAACGGAGCATAAAAAACTATATGTTTGTAATAAGACAGTAATACCCGCACTAAGGGATTGCCTCTTAATGAATTCATTTTTAAGTTTTGGTAAATGTAACAGCATACAAAGCCATGATCATTCTATAATTTACAAAAGGTCGGTTTTTATCCCCCAAACACCCACAGGGCGAAAATCTAAATTCCGAAAGAGAAATGCACATCTACAGAACACATCCAGATTTATTGCAAAATATGACTGTGCTTTTGTGAAAAATGTAAATAAAGTTGAAGGAACTATGTTTATGTAAAAAAAAGTCATTTTATGTTTATGACACCCCAAATTCAAAATGCTAAAACCTTCTTGCACATCTACAAGACACTTTCAATCATATTCCAAAAGATGAGTTTGTTACTGCAAAAAATGTAAGTGGAGTTCAGGAAAACAGTTTTTTTGCAGATAAAAAATGTTGTTTTGACCCCTAATCGCCCCTAGGGTGAAAATTGAATTCCGTGAACTTATTGCACAGGACACTCTCAATAAAATTCTGAAATATAAATGGCTGATTCGAAAAATGTGAAAGGATTTCATGGAACAAGTTTCTTTTTTTTTTAAGAAAAACCCGTTTTTTACCCCCATTTTGCGGACAGATGGATGGACCAAAACAGTCTTTTGTAAGTGAGGGGACAGTAATATGTGACCGCGACTGGGAAAAAGGGGCCAGATGCGGCAAACGTCATAATGAGAAATTGGCTATCAAACTTACGTCATAATAACAAGCAAGGCGCGCTAAAAACGTTAGACACGTGTTTGTTTTGTTTTTTCACTTATTTAATTGTTTTTTTTTTTTTTTCAATGTAATTTAATTATCAGCTATGTCGTCTGATCCAAAAGTTGTCAATGATATTTTTTTCTTTCGTTAGTTTTAAATTAAGCGCCAAAACATTGAAACGGAAGTTTCCGATTTACTCCCCTTCTTTTGTTTTCATTGGTGATCTAATATGGCGGTCAATCTAAAGCGAAAAGATGAGTCAGGAGACAAGAAGTACGTGTTCTATACCACAAAAAATTTTAGATAACCAAGATCTTAATTTCATTGAAGAATTAAACATTGTAGATGAATTGTATTTTAATGAAAATAATAATGTGATCGAAAACGAAAGCAGTTCTGAAGAAAACTTTGAATCTGATTCCGGCAATGATGAAGACGTGGACCTTGTAAATATTGAACCATCAGATGAGGACACACGGGAGTATGTTGCCCAGACCCGTTTTAGAAGTGATACATGTGGATGTAGGGAGTTCTATGGTGAACCATGCAGTACAGTTATTGACTTGGAATCGGCAATCGAATTCCGAGAACACTGTAAAGAAGTCAGCAAGGATGAACTTGACCTGATTATAAAAGCGGAACTTTTTTCCCATCGCCGTTCAGGTGTTCATACACAAGCAAAGAAACACAGAACAAAAGAAAGAGAACGGCCCTATCAAGAATTCTACTTCAAAGGAAAACGGGTATGTAGATTGACATTTTGTTTTATTCATGGTATAGAGAGGAAAAAGTTGCAGTCCATCGCACACCCTCTTGATGTTGATGGACTGTCTCCTAGAGTTCATGGTGGGACTGGTAAAGCTTCAAAACATGCACTGAGCTACCAGAATTCAGTAAAGATCAAGACATTTTTGATGAAATTCGCCACGGACAATGCCCTATCTCTGCCAGGTAGACTTCCCAATTACAAGAATCATCAAGTTATTTTGTTACCATCTGACAAATCTACTGTAGACATACACCAAGAATATGAAAGTCTTGCTAAAGAAATGAAATACAGCATAAGTCTGCGAACATTTCAAAGACAATGGCAGGAACTGTGTTCCAAATATAGTTATTACAAAACCTTGTACTGATTTGTGTCAGAAATGTCAGGAATTTGCAAATAGAATTTCAAAAAGTGGTAATTTTGCTGAGGAAGAGAAAGAGCAATTACTTTCAGAGTACAATAAACATGTTCAGCTTGCCAAAGAACAAAGGGACTATTATCGTGAGCAGGTCAAACTAGCTAAACAGAATTTTCTGGAATTGCCAATTGCTCTTCAAGATTCAGGTAAGTTTTCAAAACAAATATTTGTAACCCATTAAAATTATATGTAGAACATAACGTATATGTACATTAATGGCACAGAAACATGTATAACATGTTTGACATTCTATGAAATTCTGATGGACTTCAATGCTCTAAATGTGATGAAGAGCTAAAGCAGGTAATTTGTAATAGTTATTTTAATAAAATGTTAAATCTCAGCTTTGTCAGACTGAAATTGTACCAGTCTTGTCGCTGATTTTTCTTTTATGTATATCAAAAACCTTTCAATTTTTTAATAGGTAACCCACCACAGTCAGTTCAAACCACCTTGCACTACTCCTGGGATTATGCTCAGCAGGTCCATATTCCACACCATGCCCAACAAGTGGGGCCAATCTACTTCAAAAGCCCAAATATTAGTTTATACCGTCTCAAACACAGGGGAGCATGTCAATCAAGCATTTTAAATATTAAGCGGTTAACATGGATGATATTACCTTAGGACTCATTGTTGTGAATGTAATGCTGTAAATGTTCCATTAAACAGACAAAAGATTTTTTCTTACTTGAAAATCCTTAAGTATTTCTCAATGCTTATTTTGAATCTCATTCCAATTCTGTTTTAGTAAATTAAATAAAAAAGATTTTTTACCTTTGTATTTTCATTCAAAGTGATATCAAGACTGCTCATTCTTTTCCAATTATATCCTTGGTCACCAGATATTTTCTTTAGGACAGTTTGTACATAATCACTTTTGGTTTTGATTATAAGGTTTCCAATATCAGATCCATACATATGATAAAAAAGATTAAGACAGTAAGTTCTATCTGAAAAATATAGAGGAGGATCTTAAATTTCATACTAAAAATTTGGATGTTTAAAACATTTTAGCAACAAGACATAACAACATGTACCTATTATCCAAAACTTAATACCCTTGTTAAAAGTGGTCTAGACAAAGAATCGTTTATGTTTGTTCAAATAAAGTTTTAACAAACAGTGTTTTGTACATTTTTAGAATAATTTTGATGCAATATTAATATGCAAAATATTGAATATTGTGACCATGCATTAAATTTTATCTTCTATAAATGTATCACTAGGTTCATTCCAATGTTTTATTGTTGTTGTTGTTTTTTTTTTTTTTTTTTTTTTTTTTTTTTTTTGTCCTATCATACGGGAACATATTTATTTAAAAAAAGACGATACTGAATAAACGCTTGATTGTAGCATATTCAATTGATTTAAGAAAAAAATGAGGCAAGAATTGAATGATCTGATCTATAATAATTGACAGGCTATTTGACACCTTTTTTGCACTTCAAGAAGGTTAATTTTTACGGCTATTTTCAGAAATACCTTGAAATATTTTGTTGCTTTCCAGTACTGCATTATCTCCTGACTTTCTTGGACTGGATGTTTCAATGTATGCATAATATTTTCCATGGTATGCTGAACTTGGTCCTGTATTAGAAGAACTTGTAGATCCCTAAATTTGATTTTAAAAAATGTTGTTACATGTGACACATGGTGAAACCTTGCATTTAAATGTATGGCACATGGTACTGCATAAGATGCAAAGATTATTGGTTCAATGTTTCGTTTACATGAATTGCTCATGTAAACGAAACATTGAACCAATAACCTTTACATCTAATGTACATGTACCATCACATATAAAATGAACTTTTCAAGTACATGAATAGTATGAAAGGGACCAGGAGGGGTATAAATTATTTTTCGTGGACTTTACCGGTGAAATACGGTCTGACAGAACTCTGAGACCAATGTGTTAAAAGAACTCAAACATATCAATGAAGAAATATTGAAAGAATTGAGCATTAAATAATTTATTCGAACTTTACTTGATTATGTCAAAGTGTTATATTTCATATGTTTTATATGGGTCCAAAATTATTACATCTGTTTTTCACCTTAAGGTTTTAAACGCGCTAACGTCATATTTCTTCTGACGTTGTCAGCAATTGACTTTTATGTTTCAATCACCATAACAACTGTTTTGTGAGAAGAAATTAGACCGTGGTAAATATAATCTTTGTTTTGCATTCCTTGATTTTTTTTTTTTTTTGAAAAGGTATCCTCCAGTCCGAAAAAAAAAAGCATTTTCAATAGTTGGCAAAATATTGAATAATATATGTCAAAGAAAGGAGGATGTCACAAAATGTGATTTTTTAAAAATAAATTTCAAAGACCTTTATCGTTAAAAAAGTGCAATTTACTACTTAGCATTAAGATGAGACAACACCACTTAAAATTCTTTAAAGTTGTTCTTTCTTAGATATTTTTATTTGCTTCCTTTTTTATGAAATGTTTAGTATTCTGAAGCCTTATAAACCACAAGAATTCGATATATATTTAGCCAAAATACAGGGAAAATAATTAAAGGTTTGACAAACTTTTGTTGTTTTTTTTACCGGATTTTCAAAAAAAAAAAAAAAAAAAAAAAAAAAAAAAAAAAAAAAAAAACCTTCCTGACCGGGGATGTAAAACAACAATTACTTTACTGTGGCCTCTGTCGAAACTTTGTCGGAGCGTTTTGAGATTTTAAAAAGTGGCATGTTTAAACATTACCAAATCTATGTAAGCGTCCAAACATGTGCGGAAGAGTCAAATGCAATCAAGTTAATAATGGCTCCAGACTGTATTCTTAACCTAGTAATGTTTTAGCAACCAAATAACAATTTACCATTTTATGTGTTCATAAATGTTCAATTAAATCTTCGCAATAAATGTCCAAAACAGAGTGTTATTCATAATAATAATTTCACAACATATTTTATTTGAGGTAGGGCAAAATTTGGTCATTGACCTTGATCTTTGACCAGTAAACAATCAGCTAAAGATTGTTATTACCCCGTACCCTCGGTTCATTAAAGTTTACATGCAAAAAGTTGAATTCTCCTGTGGTAGAAATAGTTTCAAGTCAAAAACATTCTCTTGTAAATGATTAAATATCGCTTTTCTTGCGACAAAAGAAAGCTCTTTTAAATGGAATATATTCTTCGAAAATAAATATTGCTGTTCATGAGATGGACGGAATCATGGTTTCCAAGGCCACATTGGCGAGAACCCATTGTCAATTATTTGACTAGCAAATTAATAAAAGCATTTATGTTGTTTTGATGGGTTGCGCTATGATGCGTGTTGAGGGTCTGAGTTTCTCCGAGTATTTGAAGGACTGGTGTTAATGTAAAGAATTAAGAGCACATATCTTTTATCAAAGGATTGACTGCAGAAAATTTCAGACATTGGCATATTTATTACGTATCAATCATGAAAAATTATGAAGAATGCAAACAAAGGAAAATGACGACTTCGATATTAAATTAATAGCCTTTAGGATAAGTACTTGAAAGAAACCAGCATATGGTAAAGGTTAGTAAAGAAAACACTGTGACATAGAAATGTGAAAACTACAGTCAACAAAGATGAGCACAAAACACTCATCTATCAGTACGATTTTACCGGTCACGGTAGGTTATTGTTGGGGCGTCCGCTTCGTGATCGGGAGGCCCGGTTTCCATTCTCGTTCACCGCGCCGCGTCAAACCTAAGACGTTAACATGGGTAGTTACTGTTGCTTCGCCAAGCGCCCGGTACATTGAAGTGAAAGTCAAGGGTCTTTCGGAGAAGACCTTAAAAACGGAGGTCCTGTGTCACGGCAGGCGTTAGCACGATAAAGAACCCTCACTGCTCAATGGCCCTGAATGCCGAGCATAGGTCTAAATTTGAAGCCCTTCACTGCTATATGGTGAAGTCTCTTGAAAAATTCTCGAATGGGACGTAAAACAATATACAATCAATCTATCAATCAGTACGATTTTCCTTATTCAAAATCTGGCTAGCTAATCATTGGTACTATCTGCAGGACAGAAAGCCATGGTGCTCAAATAAAAAAAAAGTGTTTATGATTTTGCAAATTATAACTTTCAAGATAGCCAAAACTGTTGCACGTGCAATGAAAGTACATAGAAGCACATTCTTATATTGATTCTATTCGAAAAACTTTTTTCCAGGACCAGACGGATGCCAGTCATTAGAGATTTTGTGTAACATTTCGGTAGAATTTTTTACTTTTAAAGATATTTATCGGTTATTCTAATTCTCTTTAAATAATCCAATTTATATGAATTCCTGTCATTAACCATGAAAAGATGCACTTCTGTGCATGTTTGAGTACACTTTAGCACGATAGCAACTCAGAAAGCAATTCAGTTGGAAAATCGGGGTCGCAACCACACTCAATAAAAAAAATCTTTGACTAGCAAATGGAAAAGACATAAATATAGAAATAAGAATAACTGAGTGTTATTGTACATGTATATGTATTAAGATGATCAATACAAACTTTTTTTTTATCAAATTTATTGTAAAATCATGGATATTATTTAACTAATAATAAATGTGATTCGTCCAAAAAAGGATTTACGTAAAAAAAGAGTTTTTAGTATTTATTGCATAAACTTGATTTTTACACCAACCACATGGTTTTAATCATATGTATATTCAGAGCCAATATTGAGTTTATTCAGTATTACAAAAAAAATCATAATTTAATTTTTTTTCTTCATATTTTACCGTGTTCCTTGTCCAGTCGAATGTATCAGAATTTGAATTCACCAGGAAGCAACTGGACTCATCATTTTTTTCAAAGTCGCACATATCTTTGTTTTAAAGATAGAAGAAAAAATCTGTAAATACTTTTCGTACATATTTGTAATTAAAATTACTCCGACCCCAAAAAGATAAACATGATACGATTGTAAAAAAAAAAAAATACAGATTTGCATATCATAATTTATCAGCGTTCAAATAACAGTCATATCATCTTGTTCATTTTACTTACGTCCGTCTGGTATATACCTAGAGCCACAGTTAACAGTGCTTGGATCTTGACACTTTAAGTTTATGTCAGAAAACATTTGAGGAACTGGACAGCGCTGGAGATAAGAATTTTTTTGGCTGCAGTCGTAATAAAAAGGACAAAGTTCCAAGTCTTCGAAAATAAAATGCTTTATGTTTCTACACAGATCCTGTACAGTCCAAGACAGGAATCCTTTAAGAGAGGAAGAAAAAACAGCATTTGGAAAGGTGAAAATTTCAATTTATTTATTGCATTAGAAGTTTCTCTTATTGCATATGGCGCACTAGAAAGTGTATCAATAATTTTTATAATAAAAGAAAAAAAGGAATATTAATATGTACCTTTTTGCACAACTTTCAGTTCCATTAGCTTAGATTTATATTCTGATAATTCATCTGACATGTTTTGTTGCACAGCTTGGCTTTGATGTAATCGAATTCCACATTTCTGCACATTTTCTGCACATACTGATGATTTCAAATTCTTTGTAAACGGTCCCTGGAACTTACTTTCGTCCTCATAAATTGCTTGGGAAAAAACAAATTGCAGGCTGTAAAACTGAAGAGGAAAAATGTAAAATAAACTTAATATGGCTGTGTTCTCCATCGTGTAGAAATTTACATTTTCCAGGAAGGGAAGCAAAGTAGTATATATATTCCTCTTAGTATTTAAATTAGTCACGTGATTTAATTTGATGTGTGAAATAAGGAAGAAAGGGAATTATATGATATTTTCATCATCAAGAACTTTTTATCCAAATTAATGCACAGACTATAAATATGTTGTACGAATTTTTAAGAGGTAGGTTTTACAAATTGGGACTATTCATCTTCATTCATATATCGTCTCATTGAATCCCAAGGAACACAAAATAAATGACACCTCGGAGTCTATCACTTCTCTTTCATACAGGTATGTTTTTCTGACTTTAGACGATCAAAAGAAGCTATCAACTAAACCATATGACAGGGACAGTCTTTCAATGAACATTTTTATGCTGAATTTAAAGTAAAAAATTACGTTCAGAAAAAAGTGTGGGGATGGGACAGACACTGATTTTGTTACAGAATTCTCCGTTTACCTGATTGATACAGAGGGCTTAAGACGCGTGTAACTTGTCGTCAGGGGATCCTTACTCAACATATGTACTCACGTACCTATGTACCCCTGCTCTGGTGTTTCCGTGGGTGTATACTTTTCCCTGTTCACGATTTGTATCATCGGTGTTTAAAGTTGAACACACTTCATGGTCTTCACCTTTTTCATCCTAAATTTCTTAATGTTCCTAGTTAAGAATAATAGATTTAAAAAAAAAACAAAAAAAAAAACAAAAAAAAAAAAAAACAACTTTTTATACTCATTGTAAATTAAACCCTTCTCTCTTAGCGAAAAGGGGAAGCAGAATATTGGCCAATTCAAATTGACTGTAGTTTTTTTTTTTTTTTTTTTTTTTTTTTTTTTTTTTTTAATACACCAATGTGATTTGTGTATAAGCAAAATCAGAAATTTTAAATATTTTAATATATTGTTTTAGTTCAGTCATGTTTCAAGTTTGTAATCTACTTGTACTTCATGACGGCTATATACTATGCATCTTAAGTTCCATCTATCAGTATTTTCTACTTATTTATGCCTGTCGTTTTCTCATTACTGTAAGTGGCACTTAGGATAAAAATAAAACTCGGATTCAAAAGCACGTGAGTGGATATTTGTGATGCAGTATGAAATAATAGCTCAGTATAAGGCATTTAAATGCTCCTGATTTCAATATTTGATTGATTTTATTAAAAACAGGAGTTCAAAGAGTAGGTTTATTAAACCACAAAGAAGAAAAAAATTAATGTGATTAAACTTAGCCTTATGCAAACATGCAAACTTCATATATTTACATATGTTGAAATCAAATATGACACATGACATAATTATAACCTGATTTTTACTAGTTGCTTCTAGCTCATCCCCCGTCCCCCTTTCTCCGCCCACTGTATCACGATACTGCCTTAAGAAAAAAATGGAGGAATAATATTGACATCATGTTTTCATGCATAAAAAGGCTAATGTATATACTGCCTTTGTTTTTTTTAGCAATCATTCAGATTTATTTTACATATATTTATTATATGAGAACATTTCTTATTTAAACACTTTTTTCATACACTCTTTAAGCAAAGTCTTTTTTAATTATTATGGTGGAATGAGAAGTGAATTTTCGTTTTTACCACGAAGACTGCATTTTTCTATATGCTTCTTTGAATGGCAGAGAAATTGTATACTGATTTCAATTGCAAGCACTTTTGGTAAAACACAGGTTAGTACAATATATAAAATAACTAGTCTATTCTTTCCCTGACCACGGCAGTTAACATGGAATACATAGTCTTCTTCTGCCTCAGTCTATAAAGCATTGATTTAATAACGTTATGAATAACTGCAACGCTGTCCTACGTTTTTTCATTGGTAATTTTTTACAAGTATTTTAAATTACGCTATAAATTTACTAAGGATAAGTTCTTCTGAACATTCAAGAAAGTTTTGAATCATTATTTATCCAGTGTATGCCTAAGCGTTGGAGTGGTGTAAATTTTGTCACGGCTTAATTCGACAAGACAGTCATATATAGCATTTCAATCCCCTCTGTGATTCAAGCGCGTAAACAAACAATTGTTTTCTACCCTAAAAGAAATTTATACAAAAATTTTATACTGTATTTAGAAATATAAGTTTCAGATCTTGTGCGAGTTAGTTTCCAGTTTTTTTCCAAGCCATAATCAAGTTCCTTAACTTTTTTTATTGTCAAAAGACAAGGAAAATTAATCTTATTTTTTCTTTTCATGTTTTCAACACTGAATTTCTTTAAAGATTGAGTATACTATCATTTCGCAGAACACGACAACTAATCAAATGCTTTAAAATACTTACCTTGAAAACATTGTCAATATACAATGGTTTTTTCGGTGAAGATTTCCAATGCGATATTTTATAATATTGTCTGTCTCTTATTTGTCCGAAAGAGAAAATATGTAGTAAATATACTCCTTCCGTTCGGTCAATCCTATTATCGACTTTAGAGAATGACAAATCATATTCACACTTCGTGCTCAGTCGATATGATTTCCTTTGAGGAGGATATATCACGGGATATATTTTGCACATGAAAAACGGGCAATATTTGTATTTCAAATTAAAAGTCTAAACTACGATACGCGGGATGGTCTGTTCTAGTAAAAGTGCAATGTCATGTCAAAGAATACATGCAAAACAAAGGGAAGGGAAAAGGTTAAGGTCGAGCACAGATGTATATTATATCTTAAAACAACCTTGGCTCATGTCTTCAACTGCTCACACCATATTTAGCATACGTACAGGAAATCTAAACGGTCTATGATTGTAAATTCGAAGAGACAGGAATTATGACCCACAACTTGCATCTCAAATCCACAGAAACGATAAAAGATATAGATAGCAATTCTAATTATGCGCAAAATAAACTAGTGAAACGTAGTAGAAACGTAATAGAAAATACCCATGAAATGGAATAACTTGACACCCCTTTGGAAGTAGATTGTTTTAAGGGTATATAAGTCAGTGCAGCTGGCATTTGAGGCAGAATTGCTGTGAAGTCCGCTGAGTGCGACTGAAAGACGAAAGGTATACGTAATAGCTGAAGAAGTAAGGCTAGCTAGGGTAGAATTTGAATAAGCTCACCAGCGGTAGTGGTATTTGGGGAATTAATTTGTGTGTCAGGAGGTAGTAGATCTTATTAGATCGAGGCGCCTGATTCACTATACCGAGAATATGCGGTGACGGGTTACCCAGTCACATTTAGTCCTTTAAAAATACTGTAGCACCCGGTAAAACCTCTGATAGTTTAATTGCTTTCTAATTATATATACAGATTCATTATACTTTAAGGATTTGAGGAAAATTATTATCGCCAAATCATTTTACTCAGACAGAGTACGAGGAAAATCAGATCCCTTAAAAAGAACCCTGGTTAAGATATGTTCAGATAAACACGTAACATTTTGGTGGCAGCTGGTTAAGGGATAGAATACTGATTCAATTTGATTCTGTAGGGAAATTAGTATTGTTCTTCTGTAGATTTTATTTTACAAGGTGCCTTTTTATTTTTACCAAGTTTAGAGACTGTGTATATTTTACCGGGTATATAGCTAAGCTTGCTATAGTCTTGGTATTGTGTTTTACTTGGTGAAGTTTACCAAGTGCATATACCTAGTGCGGTTATAGAATACAGAAAACCGGATAACAAATAATATAAGAATGTGTGATGGAGGGGACGAATTGCTAGCTAACCTCAGTGCTGTAGATGCCAGAAGGGAAACACTCAGCGAAGAAATAGAAAAGTTACTATCTACTCCTCAGATTACCAAGTCTTCAGTGGTACCAGATTCCGGAGTAGATGTTAGGTACAAAAACCCAGACAACAGTTTAGATGAATTAAATTATAGAACACCATGTAACACAGGACATGCATTTGGACACATGAGATATCCAGAGCCTGGTTATACACTGTATGAAGATAAACAGATCGAAGATCGAACTTTAAGAGGGATATAGAAAATAAGCTGCCGCGATTTGGTACAATAAGACAACCAGTTTTTACCGAGACACATTTGACACCAAGCCCTTCCTTGAACACTGGGTGTGCGGTATCTTCATCAGTTTCCTCTACAGTTACTTGGTCAAACAACCAGAATCCAGTGCAGGAACCAGTATGCAGACATTTACCTACTCTTGATTTGAGTAAGAATGATTCAAGTGCACGGCCCAAGGAGTATTCATACGGCAAAACGGTAATGAAACCTGCAACGTATGATGGATATGGGTCTTGGATAGATTATAAAGTCCATTTTGAAGCATGTAGCGATATCAACTCCTGGAACTTACAACAGAAAAGTTTGTACCTTGCAGCCTCTTTAAGAGGACAGACTCAAACTGTCCTTGGCAATATGCGACCAGGTGCAAATAGAACCTATATGGAGCTGTGTGACGCATTAGAGTCAAGATTCACACCTGCAAATCAAACTGAACTCTATCGAGCTATGCTTAGAGAAAAAACGTCAAAAACAAAGTGAATCTTTGCCAGAACTTGGTGCAAGCATTCGACGATTGGCACATCTCGCCTATCCAACGGCTCCCAGAGAAGTTACTGAGATGACAGCCAAAGATCAGTTTGTAGACGCATTGGCCGAATTTGATATGCGCCTTCGCATTCAACAATCACGATCAAAGTCATTAAAGATGCTGTACGTTTTGTCGCAGAAATTGAAGCCTTCTGTAGAGCAGAACGCCAGAGAAGAGGAGATGATGGATATGTCAGGAACACAAGCAATAACCAAGTGACACCTGATGCCCAACAAGACTCGAGTGTCAGGGAAGAACTAAGATAATTGAGAGATGAAATACAGGCTTCTGTTAAAAATTTAGAAAAGAAATTTTCTAATGTCTCGACAAAAGAAACATCTGCCACTTAAATTAATTTAAGCATGCAAGGCAAATTTCCTTTCAAATGCCACCATTGCGGAAGAAAAGGCCATATGATCAAAGATTGTTTTGTGGAAAACAATCAGATTGAAACTAAGATGCAAAA